AAATAAGATATTTCGAAATACTATTTTATAAACTATAATTACTTTTATTTAGAATATTATTTATTAATATTCTGTTTTTAATAAGATTTTGATAAATAAAGAATTAGAGAATAAAGTATATATAGTATATTTTCTGAAAAAATATGATATTCAATAAATACCAATTTCTATATATAACTTTAAAGCAAATAATCAAATTAAAAAAGATTACTAATTTATTATTAATAAATTATTTAAAATAATAATAAAAAAAATTAGTTTAAATATTTTAATACAATATTATTTATTAATAAAATTATAATATGTTAATTAATTAATTTAATCTTATTTTATACAATTTATAATCACTATTTGATATTATTTATTAAAATAAAATTCTATATTTAAAGAATTCTTAATTAAGAATTTATAATAACCTGAATAGAATTATTAATATTATATTTTTGATAATTAGAAATATAGAATATTAATATGGAAAAGGTTATATTTTAAAAAAAGTATTATTGTGGGCGAAACTTGGTACTGGTCACGTGACCTCTTTCTGTAGCTAGTATTTATAGATCTTCTTCATATAGTTTAAAAAAAGCAATCAGTTCCCACCCACCTTCTCGTACATTTTGTGATACGCTATATAATACCTTCTCCTCCTCTCCTCCGCCAAAAGCACTACATCTCAATGACTTATCTATAGTATTTACAAAGGACTACTTTATGACCCTACACCTTCTACTCTTTTACATTATTATTTAAATAGAAAAATATACTTTAATAAAAATAATAATATAATAAACAAAAATATTAAGGTAAAGAATATTATATTCTAATATAATTTATAATCAAAAATTGATATATTATATAAAAAAAAGCTTATATATCAATAATTTGGATTATATTGAATAATAATTATCAATCTAAATAAAAACATTTATATTTTAAAAAAAATAAATAATATTCTAATCAATAGAATTTATATAGATTTCTATCTTAAGAAATTTATTAAAAAAAAAAATCTATTTGTTTTTTAAAAAAAAATAAGGAAAAAGATGATTAATTGGAATATAAGAATCTATTAAAAGCTTTATTAGAATTATATTAATTAAATTATATAAATTAATATTTTAATAATATAGAAATAATAATAGATTATATATAAACAAATAGAATTCCTTAAGTTATTATAACTATCTTAAAAGAATTCAATTATATATTTATAGAAATTCTAATTATCAATCTATTAATAAAAGCAGTATTTTTCTTTATATAATAAGAAGAATAAATATTTATTAAAAATTTAAATAAAAAAAATGTTTATTTTTGTTTTTATTAAAAATTTCAAAATCTTTTTTTTTTTGAATCTTTTTTTTATTATATTATTTATTTCTTTTTATAAAAAAATAAGAAAAACTAAATAAAAATATTTTTTATAAAAAAATAAATATATTTTTTTTAAAATTCAATTATTTATATTCACTTTATTTTTTCTATATTATATTAATTCTTTCTTTTTAATAATTTTCTTTTCTTTTTATTATAATCCTTTATTTTATTTAAGAAAAAATACTTATTATTTATTTTAAAATAACTCTCTTTTTAAATTATTTTAAAATTTTTTATAATTTTATTACTTTTAATAAAGTTATCTTTTATATAGAAATCCTTTATAATAATAAATTAATTTTAAAAAGGTAATATTTCAAAGTAATTCGAAAATCTAAATCTAATTATTTAATATTTAAATATTCAATTATAATATATATAATATAATATAATAATAATTAGTAATATTTAATTAATTAATATATTAAATATTTTTAAGATTATTCAAAAACTTTTTAAAGAATTTTAATATAAAAAGTTTATAGAATTCAATATCTAAATAAAAGTATAGAAAATAAAAACTAATATTTTAATAAAAATAACTATAATACTTATTCTAAAAAATGATTTATATATCAAAGTATATATAATAATAAAACAGATAAAAATTAATAATTAGAATATTCTTATATAAATAAAAAAACCTATAAATTAAAGTAAAAAGCTATTAGTAAGATTAGCTTATATTAAAATAGTTTTTAAAAAGATATTATATTTACTATAATTCTTATTATAATTTATAAAATCAAATTTTAAAATAAATTTATTAAATTAATTAAAATAATTATTTTTAAAGTAGTATTGGAATTAATTAATAAAGAATTTATATATAAACTGATAGTAAAACCAAAAACAGATATTTGAATTAATAGATATTTAATACCTTTTGAATTCAAGAATATTTTTAGAATTCTTAATCAGAATTTTCTTGATATTGTTTTTTAATAAAATAATAAGTAATAATGTGATTTCAATTTTTAATATAATATAATTAATATATTAGGAGAGATTAATATGGATTATTTCGAGGATATTCTATTTACTAAAAATTCGATTATTAAATTCTTAAATATTCTAATTCTTTTATTTTCCGAAAATATTATTATTAATTTAGAAAGGTGGAAGAGATTTAATATATTAATTGTTAATAAAAATATCAAATTCTTTTAAAAATGTTTAATAAATAAGATTATACCTTAATAAAATAATCTCTTAGAAAAAAAAATGATAATTTAGAGAATCAAAAAGATAAAAAAAGGTAAATATTATTTAATTCAAAGTTTGTAAATGTATTTAAAAATATTCAATTCTAAAATTAATTTATATATTTAAAGAAAAGTATATTATAAAGTAAATTGATTAGTAAATATAATAATATAATTAATTAAATGTTTTTCAATTTTATAATATAATATTATTATTCATTAGTATTTTTAGTTTAAATAATTTATATTAATAAAAAATATTATTTAAATATTATTTTAATATATATATAAAATCAGGATCAAATAATAATATCTATATTACAAAATATATTTTTATTGATTTAAGAAAAGTTTTGTAATTAATAAAAAGCAAAGAGATAAACTTTTTGATATTTCAAATTTAAATTTATTAAATAAAATAGTATTATATTAATATTAATATAAACTTTTTAAATAAATTAATTAATATTTACAAATCAATATTATATTCTAACAAATTAATATTTTTATTTCTATAAAAAGATTTTTATATTATTAATTCAAAAATCCATAAAGATATATTATTATTATAATTCTTATAAAAAGACAAATCTTGATTTTATTTATTATTATCATTATTATTTTAATAATAAGCTTTTTAATAAAATTAAAAATCTAATAAAATATTATATTATAACATATAAATTAAGAATTCTATTTAATCTCTATTCCTTTTTTTATTATTATTATGTAATTTAATAAAACTTTTAATTATATTTTTATATATAATAATATAAAAGAATTATATATAAAAAATAATATAATATATATTAATAATCTTATTATATATATTATTTATTTAATTAATAATAATATTAATAAATTTATATATAAAGTTTTTTATAATAAAATAAAAATAAAAGCTGGATAAGATATAATATAGTATAATCTTATTAAAAAACTTTTAGAAAATTTAATAGATTTTTTAAAAAAGGATACTTTTAAGATATAATCTTGAAAAAGAAGTATATAGATTATATTAAGCTAATTAAATCTAGATAATTCAATAAAATAAGTATTATATTTTAAACTTTTATTACTAATAATAATCTAATAAACTTTAATTAAAATATAAATAATTAAGAAAATAAATTATTTATTATATTTATTATTCTATATATAATAGCAAAACTAAACTTTAATAATAATATAAATCTAATTCTTAAGAATAAAATAAAATATAAAGATATTATAAAAATCTATTACAATCTAAAATCTATTTTTAATAAATATATTGTTAATAATAAATAATACAAAATTCCTAAATTTCTAATTAAATATTATTTAATTTTATAAAATTCTATTAAATGAGTTTTTATTAATAAATTTTCTTAAAATAATATAATTATTTTTAATAAGATAATAAATCTTTTTATTATAAATAATCAAGATTTCAAAGAATGGTATAAAAAATATAAAATGATTTCTGAATTTTTTTTCATATAAATATTTAATAATATTGAATTTATTAAAAAAAATTATAAAAATAAGTTTTATTTTAAATTTATTAATAATATTCTAAAGAATAAATATAAATATATATATATTGAATTAAATAATAAAAAAGAAATCAAATCTATTTTATTTAATAATAATAAAGATTTGATTTTAATAAAGATTTTAAAAAGGATTTAGATAATATTTTAAATAAGAATCTTAATTTAGATTATAATCTAAATCCAAATTTAGACTAAAGCAAAACCAAATTTTTAGATATTTTAAGATATAAAAGGTTTAGATATAATAATATTTTAAAAATAAATAAAGAATTAAAATTTGAAATATAAAAAAGAATTTTTAAATAATATAAAATCAATAAAAGTATTGAAATTTCAAATTAATAAAGTAATCAGATTTAATAATAAATTCTGAAAATAATTTTAAACTATTAAATTATTAATTTATTATAATTTTACTAAAATTCAGTAAAATCATATTAAATGATATTAAAAATAAATAAACAAATTATTATATTTAAAAATATTAATACTTATATCTTTCCTTACCTTGTTTTTCTTATTTCTTTTTCTTTTAAAGTATACTTTTTTTTTTTAAATTTAATTAAAATAATTAATCTTTTTATATAAAAAGGAATATAAACGAAATTTGATATTGGTTATATAACCTTTTTCTATAATTAATATTTATAGATTTTTTTTATATAGTTTAGAAAAAAGCAATTAGTTTTCATTTACCTTCTTGTACACTTTGTGATATACTATATAGTATCTACTCCTCCTCTCCTTCATCAGAAATACTATATCTTAATGACTTGTCTATAGTATTTATAAAGGACTACTTTGTGACCCTATCACCTTCTACTCTTTTATACTATGCTCTTCAAAACATCTTGGTCTCGCATCTGCCGTCTTTAAAGCAATGCTCAGGCCAAACGTCTACAACAAAGGAACAACTCTCTCCCACGTTGGCAAAGTGGAGATTCCACTTCCAGAAGACGATGCTGAAATCATGACGACCCTTGTACTTTTGATACATGGCCGTCATCAGCATCCTGATCTTCATCCAATGGTAAATATCGATTGCCTGGGCCAGGCAGCGATTCTGGTTGACAAATACCAAATGCATGAGGCCACCAACTTTATCACTTCAGAATGTGCACGTTCATACTTTCGTGAAACCCCAATTGTCGCTCACCGTTTACCTGATTTACCCTTCATACTCTGCATCACTTGGGTATTCAACATGGAGAGCCAATTCAAACAGGCCACACGCCAAATCCAGTACAAAACCGTTGGCAGCATTATCGATTCTGTGGCAAGTTTCCCTGTCGATTTACCGATTCCACACAGTGTCATTCGTAAGTAACATCCCAACCTAAACTTCTTTTTGCACTTCAAATACATCTCACTAAAATATGTCTTTTAGAGAAACTTGAGACCTCAAGACGTGCCAACATTGCACGCGTAATCGAAATCACCAGGCTTATGATTGCCATACGTGAGGACAACATCGACAGCGCTCATCGATTCTGCAGAGCCACCAAGAGAAGCGAATCACAAGAAGATGAATACGAGCTTCAACAACACAGGAAGAAATGCGATAGAGTTGTTCTTGACGGTTTAATATCCGCAGCTTCACAAAAAGGTCTCAGGCCATTCAATCTGGCGCAGTCTCTTGTGGACAATGGTTCTGTTAATCGAGCTATGGAAAAAACTACAACTCTTGATTTCACGACGGAGTGCGAAAGATTGATCGATTTGCATACAGATCATACCGGGGTCATTTATGAGGTAGGATCTTCCCGCAGAATCAAACAGGAAATTGAGGCTGGTGTGAGAGGGATCGAGGCACGCATATTAGGCTTGGGGTTGAAGCGGGAGAAGGCGAGATTTGTTGTCCCGATGTTGGAAACACATCGTTGAGTTTGTGGATAATCTTGCCGGAATTCTTGAACGATTGGGCATGTCGATAATGTATTTAAGACGAAGAACAGGATTTTTATTGGAAATGTAATACAGCAATACAATAACTTTGTCCTTGAAACACTGAAAAAGATTCATTGACAATAAATCTGAGACCTTGATCACTTCATCTTTTGGCAGTCTGAGTATAGGTATGAGTAGCAATCAATGAATCTCAAAAATGTTTCTCCAACAACCTAGGTAGGTTGAATGAGCTCATACATTTTAGTCAAATAGCAAGCAGTACTTTGTTAGTCAAGTAGCCAACAGTGCTATGTCTCCCATTCACAACAGGACCTTTAAATCCCATTTTGAGAAGGAAGAAACAAGCCAATATACATATCGCACTAATCATGAACTCACAAAATCAATTCCATCTCCATAACTTGAATTCACAAGAAGCGGACATAAAGCCTCCATAATTTCCTCAATTCCATTACCCAGCCTATTCTCCAGCCCATCGATCCCTGTTCACTTTATATTAGCTCCCTCTCTAACACTCATAAAGAAAATCCATACTAATAAACCTATAGTCCCCGACAGCAACACAACCATATTCGTAAAATCTCTCGATCATCCCAACGACCCGTTTCAAAACCCCCAAAACATCATCTCAAGAACTTACTTAATCCCAGCTTTCATTTGTCTTTAGCGTATTGCTCGAAAATTACAACACAATATCTTCTAAATATAGCAACCCAAATCAAAGCTCTCAGACTCCCAAATCAACACAAACACCTTAATCCACCTCGAGTTCCTCTACACTATCCAGCGATCTCCCGGTACTTTCTATCCTCGTCCTAACTGACATTCACAAAATACGAATACAATCACCCTCGCTATTCTCATTGACAAATACATACATGATAAAACCCGCATCCCTAGATTCCTCCGATGAAACTCCTTCAGATGGAGGGATTTCACATAGCGAGGAGAAAAGAAAGGAGAAGATTGAAACGATATCTTGTGACGCATAAAATGGATGAGGGTGAGATTAAAATACCAGAGTTCCAGTCCGCTGTGAATTCCAGTGATGAAGGGGATCAGGAGAAGTGTGTAGCTTATGCTCGAACAGAGGGAGCTTTTGCGGTCAGTTAATTGATAGAATTGATTGTAGAATACAATTTACAAATCTTTGAACCAAGCTTTTCAGTATATACCTACTTCCATGTTCAAAAGATGGTCTAGAATTCAAACTCAGATTACTCGTCTAAATATTGCAGAATTCAAATTGAAAGTCTCTGATTCTCAAACGGCGCGTCTGCGATATGGACTGAACTCTGAAAACTACTGTATAATGCCTACTTCCTGGTACCCGAGGTTCGTGCTAGAATTTAAATTCAGACGAATCAACGAATTGAGGTATAAGAATATGATTTTTAGATGATTCAACGCGCCAATGAAGTCATTTATGGATGGATGGGAAATTGGGAGTTTAGTGCTTGGTTGAGGACAATACTTCGACTTTCTCGAGAATATATGAATGTGCATTAAACCGCGATGTGGAGATAATCTTAGCTCTAGAATAACTAGACAACAACCAAGCATGCCAATCAACCTTGAAAAACACTACCTTCTTCAATAACTTTGAAAGCATCCATAGTATGTTTCCATACCACCTCAGCAACCCCATCTTCCTTGTACTTCTTATACATCTTCGGTGTTGGATATCTTTCTCCCACAGATCCAACATTATACATACCTCCACCCGGCGTCCCATCTACCGCCTTCACCAACTCAACACCCCGCAAATCATCCTCTCTCTCTTGGCTCTGCTCCAGATCCCCACCCGCATCTCTCGGTCTCCACCTCTCACTCATAAGCCACAAAATCCTCTCTCCACACACCTCCCCCTTCGTCTCCCAAAACCTCATCACCGGCCCCACCCCAAACCTCCACAACCACTTCAGCCACCTGGGTACACCTCCCTTCTCCAACATATCCGTCATGACCACTCCAGGATAAACATGCATCAGACTAATCCTCCCCGGATTCGCCTCTGCGATCTTCTCCATGAAAAATGTCGTCATCCAACATACGTGCGAAGAAGCATAGCGGAGAATACTATGTTTGCGCAGAGAGAGATCTTCGGGGATGAGTTTACTATGGAGTTTGGGGTTGAGAATTGAGATGACGCGGCTGGGGAGGGGGGAGCAGAGGAGGAGGGGGAGAAGCTGGGTGATGAAACGCATGCGGGAGTAGTACATGAGGGAATAGGTGGAGTCGAGACCTTCTTTTGTTGCTGTTGTTTCTGTTAGATTTCTGTTTACTACTTCAGGGAATGGGAAACTACGAGAGGAGAGATAGAGATGAAATAGAAACTTACCATTTCGAGACAATGTAAGAACCCCCTGCGTCATAACCAACAAATCAATCCACGCTTTCTCTCTCTTCTCCTTTTGTCGCTCATCCAACACCCCCCTAATTTCCCGACAAACGCGATCCACATCCTTCAATAAACTCAAATCTCTCGCTTGCACGAAGCGAAAATCTCCATGAGGACAAAGCTTCCTGCATTTGGCAATAATTATCGTCGCTGCATCTTTATTTCTTCCAACGATGAAGAGCAGAAGAGGCTGGGTACTGTTTTTGGCATGGGCAGAAGCGAGAGCGAGGACAGTATAGGTACCGACTCCGGAGGTGCCACCGATGAAAACTGCGATTAGGGGGGAGGGATGAGTGTGTAGGAGATGTGAGGTTTGAGTATGGATTTCGGGGAGGGGAACCATAGTTTGGGATTCAACGCGGACAGTAGAACTGAGGACAAAGGAATTAGAGTATAGAGACTTAATATATGAGAAATTAATAGGAATAGCTTGATAGATTAAAATCAATGAATGGGATGAAGCTATGTATAAATACTCATTTGAACACTCATTCGGTATATATATCTCCCCGATTCCATGTAAAAGTGGATTATACTCCCATATTTGATAAATATCCTGGACAGCATTTGGTATCATCACCATAGTTTCAGTTCAATCGGAGGTTGAAGGAATAGACAAAGAAAGATGGGAAAAATGTAGATGCCAAATCCCATGTATGGGTATGTCAATCTTCTTTGCGGTGATTGGTTCGAATTTTGAAGGTGGAACCGAAGGCCGAACTAAAGTCGCATTCGCATTCGGAATGTTGAATGAGTATACTAGGTACGTCACGGGTATTCATTATCAGAATCCTGATCAGAATCCTGATATTGGTTTTCGCTTTGGGATTTTTTTGGGACTGGGGTATCGAAGTCGTAGCTTTTACTTTGAAAAGTAAAGTAATTACAGAGGGCATGATAGATCTTGAGCAGATTGCGAAATGCACGTGACTTGCGTGATATGTATAATGGCTCGAGTGGATAGCTCAGAGGAGCTCAAAATCTACTCCTTGATAGATTTTGAGTTACTTTGAATGCTTATCTTAATTTTTCTTTCAACCCTGACTCTCTGTAATTCCAGATCTTCTCCTCTGATTATCGTCCACTGAGTCCTGTATTGTCGAAATGATCTCTGTTTTCGCTTTCACTCTTTTTCGAGGACTCATACTTGGAATCCTAGAAAGTTTTTATAGAGGAGGTTTTCTTATGCCTCCTATCTGACAGTTACTTTCAAACTCAGACTCTCTTGACCATACAATTGCAAGTTCTTTTCAATTAGAATCTCCAGCTTTAAATTCCAATAAGAGTTATCAAAGTCCGTATAGATTTTTCAAGATGGCCCCTCTCAAGCCATCACGAAATCTTGCGATGAATGAATAGAAACGATGGTGGAGATTTCATGTGATATTGAATGATAACAAGAGCTTTTCTGTGTTCAGTATCAAGTATATACTGCAATTCCGCTTAAAAGAGATTGAAGCGGAAGAGGATGAATGTTATCTAGTGAGAAGTAGCATCACGTGACTTACTCCATCTCGATGCCAAAAGCGATGAGCAGGACCTTTTGATATTTTCTGCTGAATGTATGAAACTGATTACGTACTAATATACAAACATATACTCGCTGTTACCTTCCAGATCACAAATCCGACAACAACAATCTCTAAATCATTTCATCAGACTTCGTATTTCCTTTCCCCTTCATCATATCTTCATACCTCCAAAACCATTCAAAATTTCCACATCCAGCATATAGGCGAGACTCTTACCCTCCTTCTCCTTTCTTCTTACCCCCAAAACAACGAATAAAAACAGAATTACCTTTTTATTAGAAAATTTCACATGCAGCATGCAGGACATACAGGACATACAATCTCAAGACGTGGAAACCGATGCATTTGAGATGAATCATCACGAAATGGATAACCATTCCACCGAGTAGATTTTTTTATTTTCAAAAAGTATCCAATATCGAGGCGCAATACGCTTACCCCGCGAGAAGGAAAGAGTAGAAAGAATGGTAGAGACGGTGAAGAGGAAATATATTACTAGGTAGTTAATTAATTCTAACCTTGCCCTAGGTACCTAGCCTAGGTAGTATAAAGAAACTAATGCAGCCTGACGTCTAACCCTTAAAGTTAATTGACTGCTTAACTACCTACGTACTTGATACTACGAGGAGGTAGGGAACTTTAGATCTTGTAAGTAGGTATTTAGCGAGAAAGGTTCAAAACCCCTCTTTCTAAGAAGTAGAGAAAATCAAGAATGCTGAATGAAAATTCGAGATGTATAATCATTTTTTGTTTCCAAAAGCTAAGTATCTATCTCATGTGAATGAAAACTGGTGTGGTAGTTGGAATTGAATTCACCCTTGTATTTATATTTATCTTGATTCTCCATTTTTGATTGACGGATGGTGGTTGATCTGATCTGTGTGATGAGTTGGGTAGGCTATACGTAGGAGAAAAAACAGGCCGGAATTGACTACTACGCAATGGTACGTGCACCCTCATCAAAACAACGCGTAGAGAGCATTGGTCAATTCCGGCCTGTTTTTTCTCCTACGTATAGGTAGGCCAGACCGCGATAAACGAGGATGGAGATGGGGATGGGGATATGATGGATGGATGGATAGATGCATCTGGATTTTTATTTAGAGTTTGATCTGATTCGTGAATTACTAGATTGTATACTCAGGTACACAATTTGCGATTCTTTTATTGGGGAGTTACGAGGTTTTGTGGAAATGGTTGCTGGTTTGAGGAAAGCTGGAAGGTAGAGTAGAGTCTCTCGAGTCTCTAGATGATCGTATTGATGTTTGTTGTAGTTTTATCTAGAGAGGTACCGATAGGTAAGTGGTTTAACTATACTACTCATTCAATTCAATTCAATTCAACCAAGTAAGAAAGAGTAAGATAGATGCCGCGATAAACTTTCCAGCACCGCACCATTCATAACAGCCAATATGGTGGAGGCTGGGGTTCCTAGATTTTTCTAGATTTGCTAGTCCCGGGCTCTATGGTAGGGTTATATTGGTGGATATGTCTTGTCAGAACGTCAAAATTTCATGAGAAGCTAGGTTTTATGGAGTATCTCATCGGTAGCTAGGTATATATTCATGGGGAATCGTGGTAAGATTCTTATGCAGCCTGGACTTGGCTGATGTGATGATGTGATGGAGTGACTAGGTATGTTGTATGACATCTGATGAATTTAATTACTTGATTGGAGATGAGATGAGAGGTTATAAATGTATGCTTTTCCCTGGATGATTTTGTAGTTTTGCTTTTGTTCTACTTACTTTATCAAATTTATCGATATATATAAATCTTCATCCTCTGCAAAGACTCTCAGTCAAAGAAATTTACTCAACCGATACCGGATTCCAGAATCAATACACACAACTGCCACAACAATCATCATACACATACATATCTATTCTCCTCCAAACAAACAAACACATACCTGCATAACTCAGCACATCCCCCTCTCCAAACAAACCCTCAAAATGTGCTGGCCAAGCCGAACAAAATATTACCGCGAGCCCGTCGTCCGTGAAGTCGTCTATGCCGCCCCTCGACCCGTTTCTCGAGGTCATCATCATCATCACCCTCGACGCGTCTCGGTCACTTCAGTCTCTTCGAGACCGGTTAGTCGAACGTATGTTACCACCACAGCTAGTCCGAGAGCGAGTCGAACGAGTTATAGTAGTTCGACTTATAGGAGGAGGTATTGAGGGGGTGTGGAATTAGGTTGAGGTGGATTGGAATATCTTTTACGATTGATGATGTGATGGATGATGCGATGGATGATGATGGGTATGGGTATGGGTATGTGATGTAAGATGACTGGCGTATTGGGTTGGTTTGGATTGGTTGATTTGGGACGGAAATGGTGAGAGACAAGGATAGATGATCTCCGATGTGAATATGGTTGTATACGTGTGGAGCTAGCAGTGTTGGCTAGCTGGCTATATGAGATGAGATATAATTTTTCTGTGTTGGATTTCTGGGTTTTATTTATTGTATGAATAATGTTATAGGATATACGAAATATGGGATTGACCCTGCTGAGTTTTACTTTTTCAGCCTGGGCGGATGAGTTGTATGATGTGATGGCGAGGTGAACGAGTAATGAATTGATGATTTGTGTGATCTTGGATGATATTGTAGAATGAATCCCGAGACAGGGACTGTTACCTTTCGTGCTATCTGCAAGTTGTGTTAGAAATGTCTGCATGAAGGGATACCATGATGGCAATATCATGAATAGCAAGGGAAACGTATATTTCCCATCTTTCTTCACATTGTTCACATTCTTCACTGCACGATACCTGCCCACTCATAAATTCCCACAATTCATTCCCCAGATTCCTCCTATCAAATTCCGGAATCAATTCCATCTCACAATGATTGAAGCCAAAATCTTGAATTTTACCATGCTTCAATATGATACTATTAGTCATCTTTTAGTCATCTTAGTCATCTCAATCGTCCCAATCATCTCAGCAATTCAGACGATAACATTATCAGATATGACGTCAATATTAATGGTGGGGTAATCACCATAACCTGCCCTGCATCAAGAAGCTTTCTTTGCTGCAATTATCCTTGTTATCAATCATCACTATTATCATCATTATCAACTGCATAATTATAATCTATATTAATCTCTCCAACCTTGTCGACTATCGTGGAGTATATCCTCAACTCTTATCTGCGTTATACCTGGTCGTTACATACATACATAGTATCTTCGACGAGCGAGGTGAAGTGGCATAGATCAAGTTGCAAGGTTTGTTCTCCCCTGTCCTTTCGTCGCAAGAGACATCCATTTATTTTCCCTACGTATCTATGTGGTTGATGATGCTATTCATGCGACGGTTAAAATGAAGCAATCACACATCGAGACAAAATCTGGGATGTATCCAGATTTGAAGGAGCCTTTTATTTCTAGATCTGCATTCATATCTTGAAAGTATTCGCTGGTCAGATACGCATTGCATTACAAGGCGCCTTGAAAGGAAAAAGGAAAGAGCTGATCAATCTTTAGATTCAACAAACGTAGTACTTTCTTGATTCGATTCAACTATCAATATGTAAGTACAATTTATTAATTTAACCCTTTTCCACATCTCTTAACCTTTACTTCAACACCAAAGGAGATCGATCAAACATGTTGCGACGGGCAAATTCCAGCAGAGGTTCTGGATCTGGCGAGAAAAATAATCCTTTAAAGCATTTGTTCGCACCCAATCATCCTTTGTTCCACCCTCGTCGTCGTGGCATTCGACCCATTTTCAATTACGCTGATCGTCACGTTAAAATTATAGTCACTAACTTTATTACTGTCAGGAATCGAGCACTATCAGTTCGCTCCTCAGGGGGCAAATCTTCATCCAAAGATACCTTATCCTCCAAACATTTCTCCCTCTCTTCCCTTCGTGGAATCAATCAACCAGATCTCTCGAAGAAACTTTACAAACTCATCAAAACCGAAAACAATCTCATTACAGCATATGAAACGGCAGGCAGAGAACGTATTTCGATTGCTACTCAACTTTCCGAATGGGGTGAATCCACTGACGACGATGCGATTTCGGAAATCTCGGATAAGATTGGAGTTTTATTGAGCGAACTAGGTGACCAGGAAGATTATTATGCACATAGTCTGGATGACTCAAGAGGAGTGTTGAAAGCGATTCGAAATACTGAGAAGAGTGTTCAGCCAAGCCGGGATCATAAACATAAATTGGTAGAACAAATTGCTAAATTACGGGCCAAGGAACCTCAAAGTGCTACATTGGTTACATTGGAGCAAGAGTTGGTCAGAGCAGAAGCAGAACAATTGGTTGCTGAGGCTCAATTAACAAATATTGTAAGACTTCTCGACTTGGGGAGTTATTATCGATAGAGAAAAGCCAAGTAACTGACAGGCTACCTACAGACAAGAAAGAAGATCAAGGAAGCATATGATGCAGAATTTGCTGCCACCATTGAAAGAGCAGAGAAACAAATCATCCTTGCTCGTCATGGACGTCGACTCCTCAATCTCCTTGATGATACACCAATCGTACCGGGAAATATTCGTCCAGCCTTTGAACACACTGAACAAGCCCGACAAATTCTCAATGATGCCGAGGATGATCTTCGAGATTGGCAATTGGATGAGGAAGAACTTCAGTCACATGGTAACTTGGATTCTGGTGCAATGCGTCAGGAAGGTGCTGAACATCAACAAGCTCAAAACGTAGAAGGTTCTGTTGTTGGGACTGAGGATGGTTATCGTCATGAAGGAGTTCAATCGGAAATTGGTGAGAGTAGGATCAGTAGTGGACAACAAATTCCGGGAAGTTATGCTCCTAGTGTTACGGGAACTTCAGTCACAACTGGTCCGATGGAGACAAATGAGGCTAATAGGGTTGCTTAATGTGGTGGATAGTTCACGTGACTTTTTGGTAGTTTGGGCAGTATAATTGAAGCTTTAATAATGGGTGAATTTTGTACCTCAAAGTACTTTTTATTAATTAAATGGTCGTTTGGATCTCGAGGTTTTATTAGTGTGCAGAATAAATGTGTTTCGAAGTACAAATTGCTGCATCTTTCGCATAAGTGGTATAGATCTTTGAAGTCAAGTCAATGATTTAATTAAACACTACCTACCTATCGTACCTAGTCCTTGAACTTTACCAGATCTTTCCGAGTACCAAATCGGAGATACTACCCTTACAGCCGAATGAAAGGGGAAGCGCGACGGATCTCATCACCCGAACCCCGCAATTTTTTACTTGGCGGAAATAAGACGTCTCTAGAGAGTGAATTCTAGGCTTTTTGCAAATTTTTATTTCCGTAATTTCTGGGGGGACATGTCTGGGGGAGAATTTCTCAGTGGATGGGGATGGGAGGAGAGATTCCTTTTGCTGCGCCGTTGAGATGCAGGATTTTGGCTTGGCAAGGTTACCTGGATGGGGGGTTCATTGGTGATTGTGAATATGTCTCCGAAAAGTGGCCGGTTTGTTGCCGGTTGGGGGGAGTGATTGGGAGTTTGTTCATTTGTTGGTGTGATGTGGTTGGAAAGTCGCCGGGAGAGGGTGATGGAAGGGGGGGAGTTGGTATGTTTGCTTTCGAATATTCTTGGGGAAGGAAGATGATTGGGGAGGGGACTTGGAGGGTAAAGCGGGGAGATTCGGATGGGGATCTATATATATATATAGGTATATAATTGTTTTGAATCCTTTTTCTCATTTTCATTTCTTTCTTTTGATGTGTTTTTTGGTTAGAATTTAAGATTTTGAATTTTGAATCTTGAAATCTGAAATACTGTGGTGAGATAGTGGTATAAAGCAATACGATACGATCGGATATACTAAGATTACAATAGTATAACACTGCATCACATCGAAAAGTAAAAGCAAAAGCAACATACAACAAAATGGCCAATTTAATGAAAGAACTCGGTAAGATACAATACTCAAATTTTTCCTCTTCCCTCCTCTCACACAAACCCCAAGATCCCCCATCCCCCCTAACATCCCTCCAGGTTCCCAAACCAAATGGAGTACCTCCACATGCATATCCTGCATCACCAAAATGTCCGCTTCCAAAGGCCTCCAGCCTAGCACCCTCCCCCTCCGCCACATGGTACAACTAGCCCAAGATTTGCTACCCTTCGATAGCGCTGCGAGCAAGGGAAAAATCATTCTCGATGTGGGATGTGGACCCGGACAGGTGACGGAGTATCTAATCGGAGAGTTTGGATCTCTCCTCACGCGCACTTCTGAGGGAGAGGATCATCCGCAAACTCGGATCCTAGCTTCGGATTTCAGCGCACCCATGGTGGCGCAGTTGCAGAAGAGGAAAGAGAGGGAGCTGGAGATGGAGAATGCGGTTTGGGGGTGTGTGGATACGGAGGTGTGTGATGCGCAGGATTTGAGGGGGATGGTGGGAGATGGGCTGGCGAGTCATGCGTTCGCGAGTTTGGTGCTTTTTATACTGCCGCAGCCGAGGAGCGGGTTGCGGGAAATGTGGAGGGCGTTGATGAGTGGGGGGGTGGGAGGGTGTACGTCGTGGAAGGAGAGTGAGTGGATGCTGCTTATGGGGGTGGGGGCTGCTGCTGCTGCGGATGGGGATGCGGATGAGGATGGGGATGGAGAACCGAAGAGGAAGATGGAGATGCCGAAGGAGTGGATGAGTATAGAGGGGGTAAAGAGGGAACTTGAGGAAGTGGGATTTGTGGATGTGCAGGTCGTGGAGAGCGAGGCGAAGTGGAGTTTTGAGAGTCATGAGAGTGTTGTGGATATGATATTGGGGTTTCCGGGGATGAAAATGATGGTTGGGGAGGAGAGGTGGGGGAAGGGGGGGAGGGAAAGGGCGAGAGAGGGGATGTTGGCGTGGATGTCGGAGAGATTTTCGGAGGAGGAGGGCGCGTTGAGTGGAGTGGCGGTTGTGGGGGTGGGGAGGAAGGGGGAGTAGATGGGTTGAAGGTGGATTTGGATTTGGATTTGAGACGTGGGATTTTTTGGTGAGATGAACGAGACTATGAACGTGGTTCTATGTTGATTGAAAGTATATACTCAATAAACTCATCATTTTGAATCCTACGCTTAGAATCTTGGGTATACAGTAACGTACGTCACTGAGATATCTATCGTAATATGACGGATATAAATCACAATATTTTTTCGTTCCTGAATAGTCTTGTAAACTAGTAGCTGTTTCTATCATATACTATAGAGATTGAATAAACTAGACTGGGAAAGCTAAAGAGGGAAAAGATTCTCAAGGGAAAGCTACATTATTAATGTGATAAAACAGTCGTTTCGTTCAAATTAGTTTTGAATCAAAGTTGGTGTAATGAGTAATTACATAGGGTATTAAAAATATGATTCACATGATACTAGACTAGGGGAGCTAGCTTCATTTAGTACTAGTAAAGAGCTCTACTATATAGCAGAGCTCTGCCTTTTATATCTATAGTATTAGATTACTTATATTGAGTTACTAGCATTTTCATATCAAAACTCATCTTGTTCACTTTAACATTTGAATAATATTATAAGATTAAAAAATAAAAGATTATAGTTCTTTTATTTTTATTATTTAAAGAATTAATTCGTTTGAATCAAATACCTTTCAAAATTATTTTTTGTTTTATTATCAATTTTATTATAAGAATATATTAAAAATTCAATGTGTCGACTTTACAACTTAATATTACCATGGAAAAGATTCTTGAAAAAATTCTTTAATTTTAGAAGAAAAATATTGTTTGAAATAATTCTATAGTTAAATTTAAAAGATTTTGAATTATTATTAGAAAAGTTTTATATATAATTGTATATATTGAGTTTTGATATGAAAATGCTAGCGACTAAGGGCCCGTTCGGATCGTTTTTTTAATTTGTTGACAAAATAATATATTGACTAATAATTTAGCCTAAATTTGTAAATATAGGTTCGAAATTTGTGACCTACAAAATGTAAAGTGACTTGAGAGTGACAATATGTTGACAAATGCTAGTCAAAGTTGCATCACAGATTTGGTGAGGCTCAACAAGGCTATTATACAAATTTTCAAAATTCGTAAGTTCACATTTTATAGCTTTTTGTAGTTTAATATAAGCATTCGGCAAATCACTTTTTTTCAATTTTATTGTTAATATAGATTGTTGAACAATATTCGCATTCGGTAAACGCTTATTTAGACCTATATTGCCAACAAATGTAGCTCTACATCGCCTAAAAAATCGATCCGAACGGGCCCTAAATATGAGTAGTCGATTGCTGTAACTACCTAGTAGCTAGTAGTCAATCAATCGGATCAATCTCAGAATACCATCGATTTCCTAGCCTATGCCTCCCACCATATCTTGTAGACAGTCATATTTGAAACAATATATAATATTCATCACATTAATGAATTCAAATAATTATCTATATTAAAGAAACCTAGAGGTGTTCTTTTCCTTACGTTCTGTATTCTACTCAAGTATTTGACAGGGTTCGCACTAAACTTTGAACGAGAAATATCACACAAACACACAGGTATTAATCTTGATAAAGCTAATTCTCCCCTTGTATACCGTAAAAGAGTGGAAGGTGGTAGGGTTATAGAGTAAACCTTTTCATTCATTGTAGCAAAGTCACTGCAGATATAGCGAATATTGTTGGAGGAGAGGAAAGGGAGGCTCTAGATGGTTTTCATATAGTATATAAAAGGGACAATTGAATGTTGAAAGTAGATTGTTTCTTTTTTGAACTATTCGAAGAAGACCTACAAATACCTAGCTAGCCTAGGTACTAGTTGGAAAAGAGTTACGTGATCCGCACGTGCTTTCGCGCACAACATAGTATTCAAAAGATTGAAAATTCTTCTTCCTTCCACGCCGTTTCCATAAATTCACCATCCATGATTCCTTCGACGTAACAATCACCACAAAAGGTCCATCCACCCTCGTCCCGTTCTCGCAAGACAACTGGCGACCTGGTTTCCCAGAGAAGGATCACTACATCGCCTGGTCTAACTGCAACGCTTGCTATACCGGCCATCCCATTTTCAGTCTGGAATAACGTCCGCCGAATGCTCGAAGAAGCAAGAGTACGCCCCCAGGCTTTCTTGGCTAGTTCATTCTCTTTTGTTCTGATGGCATCGCTCAGGGTTGGTATTTTGTTCTGAACTGCAGCAAAACATTCTGCTAATAAGATATTCTGTCGTTTGTCTTGCCGTCGCTGCTCAAGCATCGCATTACTGAACTTTTTTGGGACCCAGTCGATTGGCACCTCTGAGAACTTTTGGCTTTCATGACGCTTTATACAAGCTTCAACATCAGAGTCATAACCGTTCTCATAATTGTCCTCATAGAATTTCCGGTCAAGTTCAGTATCGCCACTCGGGGTAAATATGTCTAGAAAATGAAACCTAGCATCCAACAGGTCGTCGTAGTGTTTTGAAGCTTGGTTGTGATCATCTACCACTGGTTCATAGTCGACTACTTTCACCTCAGCAATGACACCAACTCTACAGCCAAGACACTGAAGAACATGATCACCAGACATATTATCATGCCTATAAGCAGGCTGTCTCGTCCATGATACACCACTTGGTGTTAAGCGGTCACACGGTCTCGAATAATTCCAGTAGCTCACATTATATGGTTGAGCACCGTGAAGGCCAATTTCAGCCCAGTCTGGTACCCACGAAGGAAGATCCTTCTTCCAAGCCACAGAATCATCTGTGGCAGTTTTGAGCGGGCAACAGGACAGGTCGAAGTCGTTACCTGATCTCTTGCTCTCTAATTTCTTATGACGAAAGAAGTGTGTTGTGACTTTGATGAATGTCTCCATTTCAGAAGTCTCACAACTGACCGATAACGACTCAATCTCATTTGCAGACAAGATACCCATAAGTCCAAGGACGATGTCTTGAGGGTGGGTTGCTTCATAGTGTGATCTTCCAGGGCTTGGAGAGGTTTGCCATAAAATATCTCTTAGGGATATATGTGAACTTCCAAGACCACGCCGAATCTCGAGCGATCTAATTGAGAAAAGACGATAGTTCAATGGGCTGGTATTAGGCCTATTTTCGGGTTCTAGTGTCAAGCTATACCCAATGGCTCCAAGAGTCCCTTCTAGCTGCTGGAGAGATACTTTCTTACATCCAATCATTACCATAGCTTTTTTGGCGAGAACTACTTCTTGAATAACCCAAATTCTTGCCCAGTAAGGGTTTAATAGGATATGATTTAGACCTTTACTCAGGGGCGAATCTGTCCATAGTTCTGCTGTATCTCTCATTCGAAGAATAATCGTCCAGGTTTTGGCATTCTCATTGTCACCTTCGCAATTCTTATATTCGGACTCTCCCGTTATTTTCATCATAGAAAGTCACATTCGATAGAAACTGCTCTCGTAAGAAGTTTGATCCGTTAATCTAGAGGCCATAGAATCGACAGCTTCTGTTCCTGCCTGAGAGATAAAGTCCATGGCTTGATCTGTATCAACCGTGCCGACACCTAGCCACATGAAGACCGTTTCAGCATCGCTGTAAATGCTTCTCATTTCCAAAAGTTGCCAATTCTTTTCAGCCATGTCGTTTTGATTGATGCATATTGCATCTATCCAGAGCCATCCGTCAAAGTGATCTTGGTGGAGTTGGTGAAGGAAATCGTAAAGATTTCTCCCAATGAAGATGTCCCCGTCATTAATCTGGATTTTTATGCTTTCACTACCCGGGTTATAGTCGACTTTGTGCGTATTTGAATTCTTAGGGTTCCAACAATATGAGAGTGCCGAGAAAGGGACATCATCATTGAGAGAGCGATGTTCCACTCGAAGCCGTAGTCTATCTATGGGCTTAATCACACCGCAAAGAGTTTTGTTGCTGGAAGTGAAAGCCAGTTGAACCAGACGGATCTCACGTTTGCTCTCGTCAAGTTGCTCATACAAAAATCGGTCTGAGTTTGCTTCGTTGTGTGTATCCATGATCAGATTGAATATTTGATTCCTCAAGGCTCGTTCTAACTTGGAGTTTCAGTAGCTCACCGGCTATAAGAGGAATACGTCAATCTGGATTCGAAGACAAAATAATGATAATAGAAGGCTTATTATAGTATGACGTTGATGAGTTTTAGTAAAGATTTGGAAACGGATGATAATGTAAAGTTTATTCGAATTATAGTTTTATGGTTCAGGCTGGGACTAGGCAACATTACAAACATTTCATACAGGCTTTGCAGATTAGGTATATCGATAAAAGGCCTGTCGAAAATCCATCTTTGAATATGCATGAATATGTGACATGGCATTCTGCCGAGCAATTCAGAAGCTATGAGCATTGAACAGAATACCTAATATGAATCAGAGGCTATTTATAGAGAACAAGATGACTTTTCAATGTTATTGGCATCACATTCAACCCAATGACTTTGTGGCACATGGTTCAATACGTCAATGGTGAAGTACTGGTTTTCAATAGCCTGATAATTATAAGCACTACATGACCACTTCATGCATTTCACATGTTCGACTCAGTATTACTCATGTTTCGCATAATCTGGCAGCCTCATACCCAACAATATTGGCGCCTAATGGAGAAATAAAAGTATGCTCCCAATTGTATCTCCAATGAAAGTGAAAATTGTACTTTTGTGTCTGCAACATGGCAGTGCAAAAAGCGAAGCCAGCCACGTCGCTACTCATTGAAAGCATGGTTTCAATTTACCACAAATCATCTGTCGGGATGGGATACAAATCGCTGTGTAATAGTCCCAAAAGCATTCTCATAGGTACACCTGGCAAAGCAAGACTGGAAGCTCTCGCCGAATTGAATATGATCAAGGCTACGTGAATGGAATTACTACAGCGAAGGGGGCTGTAATCCGCTGGCGCACATGCCTGAGTGTAGTGGGTCCCGGTGCAAACGCACATGCCACTCAGCACCCTGCAATTAGGCTGGCTGATGTCTACTGATGCTGATCCGCAATTACTATGTGGGGTCAGGTAATAAGACTTTCTTACCGAACTGGCGTACCAGCTGTCTATAAGAAGCTTGTTCGATGTCGTGCATGAAGCGTTTGCTATTGCATCGGTGAGCTTGCTTTCTTTCAAACATATTGTCATTTATCTTATCATGGCGGACATCGCTTGTTTTACTGTACCTCAGATTAACAATCTTGGTGTCGACACTATCAATGCACTACACGGCACCCAGGTGCAGGAGAGAGCCCTCGATGAGAAAGTGGAAGACGTGAATGAGAATGGTGATAGAGAGGAAAAGCCGAGAGCCGAAGTAGGGGACAAAGAAAGTGTCCCAGATATTAAACACCTTTACCAAGAAAAAGGAAAATACCCTTGGAACATCAGTTGGACTTCAATAAAGCCTAATATGAATGTTGAAGAGTTCGGCACGATCATGACTGTTCGAAGAAAGCGTGATCCCGAAAATCAGGACGTGTGGGTGTTGCATTCAATTCTTATCCACAGTAGTCTGCTGAAGGAAACTTTGCGTCGAACCCTTTACGGTGGTGTTGATATATTGGAGGGCGAGAGCGACTTTGTCTTGGAACCCCCATTCGACTCCGTTTTCCACTCTTGGGTGCAGATGACAACCTTGAATGCACAAATTTCTACAGAAGATAACGGATTAGCCCAATTCAAGATGTTATATAAGGTCTTGTTCGACAATCTCGGTAATGTGTTCAAAAAAATCGATGTGTTGTTGGCAAACGAATCAATCACTTACGATTTGCTCTGGGCAATTTTCAAACGCAACGATGTTATAAGGACCGTTGATAGTTGTAATGAACTCGTGGCTCTTCGAACTCTTCGTTGCGAGCATCAAACTGGCCAAAGTCCACACTTCTTACTCGATTGCGAATACGTTGACACCAATGGTACTTCTTTTGGCTTAGTATCTACTTCTCGCCAGATTATGCCTTTCAAAGGAACGCGTAAAACAAAAAGTTTAATTTGCCTTCCTATGCGTCTTTTGCCATCTGAGATGCAGAAAATACTGATAACAACGCTTTTGGATCGAGGCCAACGATTTGCCGACCTTGTCAGACGAAAATTCAGACACGTTTCTTATGATGGTCTCGAGTTTGGACCATCGAAGGAGGGAAACACAAAAAATAGGAAGCTAAGAAAGGTGACAATTCAAACCCTCCAACATTTCCCTCACAATTCTTTCGATAGTTTTTCTATCTAAAATGATACATTTACAAACGCTAAGTATAATGAGCAGACTAAAGGACGTATTATCATCGACCCCGAAGCGTTCGACGATCATAATTGGGAGGAAGCACCGAAAGTGAGCATTTTCCCTGCTGAATCTGATGACACACCTAAGAAGCTTTCCCACGGGGATGAATTTATGCTATGTACATCAACTGTTCGCGGCTATTCATTATCATCTAAATCATGGGGTAAGCAACAATTCCTCTTGTCATACCAAGCAATTTATCTAGTTTAAATTTTGATGTATCAACAGCTACGTTCCTTATTGGAGGGATTAAGAAAATCGAATGGAATGAATCATGCGTGTCGAAACTTATGCTACCTAATGGCTATAAAGAACTATTATCCTCTTTGGTAGAGCAACAGATGCGAGCCGACGATGGATTTGACGACTTCATCAAACAAAAAGGTAAATGTCTTGCTTGTAATTTCCATTGTATCCGTCTCTATATAACGCTAACAATTTCAATTTTTAAGGTCAGGGTCTCATAATCCTGCTTAGTGGTAATCCGGGTGTGGGGAAAACACTTACCTCTGAGATTCGTATGTAGCGTTATTACCTTCTAGGAGTACAAATACTTTCATGTATCTGCTAACCAAATTCCAAAGTCGCCGAAGAACATCACGCACCTCTTTACGTTGTTAGTGCCGGTCAATTGGGATACGATCCTTCTGAATTTGAGGAAAGAATGAAATTGGTGCTGGAGCTTGCCGCACGATGGAAGGCTATCTTACTTCTAGACGAAGGTGATATCTTTCTGGAAAAACGATCGACCTCCGATCTGGCAAGGAACAGACTCGTGTCCAGTAAGTATCGACAGTCTAAAATCGACTAATAGAAAGCCCACCGGTTAACTAACTCATGTCACAACACAGTCTTTCTCCAAATCTTAGAATATTATTCAGGCGTATTATTCATTACGACGAACCGTGGGGCAGTAATCGACGAGGCCATACGATCCCGCATTCACATCCAAATCCAAGTACCAGATCTGGACCGAGACACGCGTAGAAACCTTTGGCAAAGTTTACTCGAGCAAAACAAGATCGAGCACGCTTTACGTGTCGAAGATTTTGAAGAGTTGTCAGAGATTGTTATGAATGGTCGCGAAATCAAAAATGCTATCAAGTCTTCTGTCTTAATGGCAAGGAAAAAAGGGTCGCTACCTTTGGATATGAAACATGTTCGTTTTACAGTCGATCTTTTAGAGGCCTTTAAAAATGGGACTTAGAAGGAGTATATAGTGAAATGTGGAGTAGTTTGGTTTAGTTTCTTCACCTGGTCAGTTGAGCTAGAGCAAGAGTATACGCTATGATCCGTTCCTGAAGTTATATACTGCGATTGATTCACGATGCAAGAGATAGGCAATAGTTTAGATATGTGATATACTACAGGGAAATAAAAAGGAAGTATCATGTAACTTTGCCATATATACCTACCAAGGCAAAAATGACTAATCGCCTACTACGCTAGTGAATCTGTGAGCCCGTGACAGTATCCAAACTGACCGTCTACCTCTTATTCTGATGTGGTGTTTCAGTTAAATACTACTTTTCTGTTAGCCTAATGTTTACGTAGACCCACTTCTGGTCCTTTCGCTTTTTGTCGATTGATATAGGCGAGGACTTCCTATTGAAGGGTATCGAAGATCTTGTAGATTTTGAATTATTTATTCAGCGACTAATAATCCAGAGATTATCCGCTGAAGCTATGATTCGCACTCATTACGCAGCCTAATGATTATCACGTTATATTCTATAGCTCTACAAATCACATTGAGAGCATTTGTGCTTGTAACTGTTATATATTTGATGAGACTAATGATACTAGCTTTGCCTGTTTCAGTTCTGAGTTCTTATTCATGACAGAGGAATATATACTAGTACTCCAATTCCTGAATGTACGTCATTGCTACCAGTCAAGCTTCTAGGTAAAGGATACTATTGACGTTCTCTTCTATTCTCCTTCTGAACCCTTATAATCAGCAACCTTGGGCCCCGACCAAGAAGAAAATTTTCTCAGCTGCTTTGATCAACTCCGGAAACACTTAATTAGGATTTCAACTACCGCTAACAAATTTGCTTCCCTCCCGATCATGATTATCTATCCAATGGCAAGTCGAAACAGGTCTAATCAAGTTGATTTTCTCGAAAATCCCTCTGAAAGAAAGCCCTTCAAAAGGAGGAAGTGTGGCGGGATATAATCTATTTCAATAGCGCTTTTAAAACAGAACTAAACATTATAGTATCACATTCATAACGATAAAATTTCATAAGTGCGACCCCTTTTTCTCGCTTATATCGATTTTTGTAACCGGCTTCGCAATGTGATGACGTTTGGTATCTTGCGATGAGCTCGGTCGTTAGGATGAAACAGGGTATTGTGAGATTTCTTTTTTCATCTAGGTTTTCTAAGAGAGCTGCTAGTAGAGACATATCGAATAAATAGACAACTTGAAAATACCAATAATCTTATCTGTAATTGAAACTTAATGTCATGTTCACTCAATCTTATAGAAATAAGTCAATCGTTTTCCAAAGCTAGTAGCTAAGTAATGTACAAAAAGAAATGATCTAGATTGAAAATCCAAGCAATACAAAGCCAATGTAAGATAGCATCTTTATGAAACTTTAGATTTTTCAACCTACTAATCAATAAATGGATCCAAAAATTTGAGATTATCTTGACTACATCATGCATCTGAGATTTTTCCACCAGGATCGCAAGATTGCAAAGAGTCGATAGACTGAGTGATTCAGGGAGTTGGACATTGCGACAATGAATAATATTGACGAGTATTAAAATAACATAGGGATTGGGGTCAGGAAGCGAAATATTAATTGTAAGATCTTACTTTTCACATGTTGTTTCTTGCTTTCTTTTGGTCCATCTGTTGGTTGAATTGTGGCTTTGAAGGCGTGTGATACTAGCATCATGTGTCTTGAAGATACCTGGAATTCGACTTTTTGAATCTCGGGTGAAGATTTCGAAATGCTGTGATGGTTTTATTGTCGTTTTTCTCGGGTCCTATTTTGTCATTGTAGACATCTTGATGTCTTTCATCCTTGATTGCAACTTTTATAGTTTTGGGCAGGCATTAAAGATGGAAGATACAATCGACATCAGGATCAATAATGTGTCTTTCGGTCACATTAATTTGTGAAAATTGAGTCTGCTTTAAGAATGATTGAGTTACCAAAATGTGAATTTGTTGTAGTGGATGGGAGTAAGTATTGTGAGCTTGCTTATGTGTAGTTTATTTCATATTAGATTGAGAGATAACAATACCGTAGGACTAATTGTATAATTCTAATACTCGCAAAGTGAAATATCTGGGGGTAGGGCTCGGGGCCGTTAGATACATTGAGTTGAAAGTGTCAATGAATCCCTCGAATTGATAATATATGTAGGTAGAATATCTTTTGTCGTGTCATTTTTCTACTACGACTTTGACTATGAACTTTTCTTGCAAATGTATTGTTTTGAAAATCATTAATTATCGATTCGGAATCTTTCCATTATAAGAGTTTAGTTTTAAAGCATGTCATGTTGAAAGTCGCCAATAAACTCATCGGAGCATCTGAATTGTAAGATCTTACAAAATCTCGCTTTTGTTGTATAAACTTGTAAACAGATATCAATTTCGAAATGGATTTTCAACATCTCAATGCCTCAATTGGAGCTGTAGCTATGTATCCATATCATTAAAATTCAGGGAGTCTTGAGACTCTGAAAATATCATGATCAACTTTCTAAATATACTTATTCAATTCTGAAAGAGCTTTAATATCGAACGCGTTGATAGCTCAGAGTTTTTGATTTTCAAACTGTAACATTCCGGACTGTTGAACACACCGAATCTAGTGAGCTATTCGCAATTGAAACTCGAATCATTTTTGAGATAGAAATGAACGATCTAGTAGCTTTTATATATCAATAGGTAGTTACTAATATAGACTCTAATTATCAATGTATATTCTACCTAATAAGCTAGCTAAGTATAGAAAGAAGTAAGTCTTATATAGGTCTTACTATAAAACTAGCTCTTTTAATAGACTATGAATATATAAACAAGAATATTTACTTTAAAGAAATAACTTCAATATAATAACTATTATATCAAAAAAATCAAGTAAATATAAAAGAGACTAGCTTTTTCAATAATATCTATATAAAGCCTACTACTTTTCTACATAGCTAGTTCTTTAGATAGAATATAATTAGATATTGAGAATCTATAAATATATAAGTACTATATCTTTTATATCCTTCTCGAACTAATAGAAAATCCTCTATCCCACTCTATCCTAATTTTATAAAAGTCCTTAACAAATCAATTGCTCTTATTTCTATAGTATTAAAAGTATCAAAAGTATTAAAAGTATTAAAAGTATCAAAACTATCAAAACTATCAAAACTATCAAAACTATCAAAACTATCAAAACTATCAAAACTATCAAAACTATATTCAGAATATTTTTTCATACTCTTACCTATAAGTAATAATTCCTATACCAATTAATTTATAATTATATAAACTAGAGTAAATAACTTTAATTTAATACCTACCTACCTAATTACTAGTAATATTAAAGGGATGAAGCGAAAGAGACTAGCTCTTTTCAATAGTGTCTATATACCTAGGTAAGGCCTATTACTTTTCTATATAACTAGCTCTTTACCTAGATAGATAGAATACAATTAGATATTTAGGATCTATTAATACGTAGGTGCTACGTCTTTCGTATCCTTCTTAAACCAACAATAATAATATCCTCGTGGTATATTTATATATTTGTATGTATATACGTATGTATATACGTAGTAGGTATGTATGTCTGTCTGTCTGTCTGTCTGTATGTCTGTATGTATCTATATAAGTTTTCGAATCTAAATATATACCACCTAACCCCAATGCTCAAAACACCATCCACCAACCCAATATAAACAAACCTCTACTATCCAAAAAAACACACACAACCCAACTCACTCCAACACACCCCAAACAATTCCTTCAAATCCCTTCAAATCCCCAAATGCAAGTTCCCAAAATACAACCCCCGAATGCACCCCAAATACAACCCTAAACCAACCCCAACGAAACCTTAAACCCACCCATATCCAACCCACTTAAACTTTCCTCCACCGGTTCCAGAAGATCCATCAACCCATTCCCAAACGCATGAATATCCAACTCCTCCTTCTCTCTCTTTCCCCCACCTCCACTCCCTCCACACATTCTAACCACCTCACACGCATTTGTGATTTCAAAATTTTGAAAGCTATCATAAATACTAATGAAAGAATGACCCGTATAAGGAGCTTCAGGTAACGGATAAAGGTTATGATAAATCGCTTCTTTGATCAACATTCCCAAAACCATCGCATCGCATTGTTTATTATGTTGAGGAATTTGCTCGGCAGATAAATGTGAAGGACGACCACGACATACGAGAGTAGAGGTTTGATAATTTTCAATCGTGTCTCTGAGTGCTGAGATTGCTTCATCGAGAGCTCGGATTCGATCTTGTTCGATATTTTCTAGAAATCGATTAGCACTTGAATCTCCAACCTACCATCGGGGTAACAAACCAATAACAGAACTCGGCACCGGAATATCCCAATTCGAATCTCTAATCATCTCTGCCAAACTCGTCGTACTCTCCTGTTGAAAAATCCTCGTCAAAGAAGTAAAATCCCTCGCCTTTTCAAAAACCCATGAGATACAAAGCCATTGCAAACACACTTCAATACCATCCTCTGCCATACTCGATGGAAATTTCTTCTTCGCCTGGGAAATCCACATGTCGGAGTAAATCTGCACCGCTTCATGTAAACGATATTTATCCACCAAAATCGCCAGATGCGTAAGCAAACTCAGTTTAACTTTTCGAGGCACATCTTTATGGTGACAATGAACGATATCAACCAAGATACGCATGGCATCTGGATCATCATCGGGGAGGGGAACTTCGACTTTTCCATGCGCTTTCATCGCATATCCTTCTTTGAAATTGCTCCACTGAAGCATTGCTTTGAAAACGGGAGAAACAAGGACCATATGTTTTGACGAAACCAACATATGAATTTCCTTCAATTCCTTTTTAGTTTTTTCCTTTTCCTTTTCCACAATCTCATTCACATTCACATTCCCATCTGCATCTTCCTCCACCGTCTCCAAAACGCCCACTTCTCCATCCCCGACAATCTCATCCCCAATCCCCGAATCATCCACTGCCGTCGCCATCATTTCCATTCCTGATCCCGCTCCTCCGATCTTCCTCTTCAAAACATTACTCTTCTTCCTCTCATTCAAAATCAACAACAAATCACCATCCGGATCAATCGTCACGCGTTCCGCCATCTTCCTCCTCATCATCGCTTTCGCACACGATTTATGTTCCAAGCGTAATTGATTCTCATCCTCTTCTCTCTCCTCCGCATCATCCCCATCAACACCATCATACGCTTCGATGATTTCTTCTTCGTGCGACGGCTCGTGGATATACTTTACGCGCTTATTGCGATGGCCTTGAGTTGCGGATTTGGACGTTTGCCCTGCAGGAAATTGTTGCGGGAAGAGCGCACGGAGAAATCTAGGATGAAATGGATTGGTCATTGAGTCTCGAGTCTTGAGGTGTTTATTTATTTATTAAAGGAAATCAATCTGTTGAATGGATATGAAATGACAATCTACCTTTCGCTATGCATTTGCGTATGTGAATTGACAATGGTAAATGATCGCATCTTGGTATGCTTTGGATTTTATTTGTTTACTTTGGAGGCAAAGATTGGCGACACTATCGGATGCTCGAGGTGTTGCGTCGTTGTGTCGTTGCGTGGTGAACGAAAGGTTACTAGGAGAGCCCTTGCAAGTGGGGGTTATTTTGGATTGGAGTACGAGTACCGGACAAGTTCACCAGTTTCTCTCACCAGTCAATCTTGAAGAAGTTTTCGTGTTTGTAGATGAGTATCTAGTTACCTAAGGAGATAAACTACAAATAAACAAATATAAATCTCGAAAAACAGCAAACAGAAAGCGATGAATAAATGAATGAAAAATATTCACACGTCAAAAAGTCTCCATCTGGTGTCGTGTCACCACTCTTGCATTCAAAAGACGAGTGAGTTAAGCTAACTGAGGTCAGTCATATTCCTCAAAAAACTGGGGACCAAAATCAAAGAATCTTCTTTAAGAATCTTCTTCAATCTCCATCTCCATCTCACACATCCCCAACAATTTACCATCCCATCCCACGAAATTCAAACATCGAGTGGAATATCACCTCCCGAGTGTTTACGGAGTACGGAGTATATAAAAATCAAAGTCCATACCAAACCAAGTCGCGCAACACATGATAATAATTACCTAGGTACTTATTGAATTATTTTCGATGAAATAAAATGGTGGTAGGATCTTGATAGTTAGGTAGTTAGGTATTCCGATATATACATTTATATCAACAACTCAACTAGGTACCTAGTACCTACCGTATCAAAACATCAAAGCATCAATCAAGTAGGTAAGACCCTCTAATAAATTGACAAGGTAATGGAAACTTATCTATACACCTATCTACCTACCTACCTATCTATCTACTTATCTATCTATCTACCTATCTACCTGCATACCTATCTATCCCACGAATTCACAAGTAATAAACCTCACATTCACATTCACATACCCATTCAACATCATATCTAATCAGATCCACCCCCTTTCCAGTCCCAGTATCTACACATCCCTCCCTGCCTCCCTCTCTCCCTCCCTCTCTCCCTCTCTCCCTCCCTCCCTCCCTCTCTCCCTCTCTCCCTCTCTCCCTCTCTCCCTCCCTCTACCTACATATCCCCACCTACCTACCAACCCAGAATCTCCACATAAACTAAGATCTTACAAATACTCAATCCTCAAACACATACTCAATCCTTAAACTTCTACGATATTTGAATACCCAATCCCCAAAATGCCCAATCAATACCTAGACACAATACACAATACACAATACACAATACACAATACACAATACACAATACACAATACACAATACACAATACACAATACACAATACACAATACACAATACACAATACACAATACACAATACACAATTCCTACCTCTAGCTACCTACCAATACCTAGGTACCTAGATCTATTGCGGCTGGTGGGCCACCAGACATCCTTGATAAAAAAAAAACACAACCCAACCCAACACATTCAATCGATTCCGCCGAGAAAGCCAAGCGGGCCAAGATATTTAGCTGGAAGCTTATTTCTTCTTCATGTATTTTCATTTAGAGTCATGATGTTTTGATGGATATTTAGATAGGTAGGGTAGGTAATCCAATCCAATTGAATCAAACTGATTCTGTTTACATCACCAGAGATTGCTTTTATTTCGTTGCACTCCACCTCCCATCGCTTCCTCTTCCCCATCTCCCCATTTCCTCCGCCCCCAACTTCCCACCTCCCAACACCACATCACAACACATATCTAAACCTAGGACCATCATTTTCATCTCCCGCCTCTCCACCCACATATGACTTCTCGCCCAACTTATCCTCAGCCTCTTTCTCACCCACCACATTACCCTTCGCATCCCTCCTACCCACCACCCCATACTTCTCATCCAATCTCTTATTCTCCCAATTCAACAATATTCTCAACGCCAGCGCTAAAATACCATTGAAAATCATAAACGCAGTGCACACCCACATTCCCTTGCGGTAATATGGACCATCTTTCGAGGGATACATTCTCGTCCCAAGAAGTGGACCACATTGACCCACCATATTGAGGAGGGCGATTCCCGTGCCACGCTTGGTGTCTGAGCCTTGATTATTCAAAACCCAAGGGAGGATGTTAGAGATGGCGGGGAAGATTCCTGCGGCGGCGAAGAAGACACCCGTGTAGCGGGGCCCGGTTGTGGAAGTGGTGGCCTACGGATGGATGTTAGTTGGAATTTATATTTGATATCGTGTTTGGAATGTATTATTTACCAATAAGATGTATCCGATGGCACCAATAACCGAGAGGAACATGATTACCAAACCACGTTGTTGAGTGCGATCAGCAATGTAGGTTGAGAGGATGACGACGATGAACGCGAGGAAATATGGGGGAGCGGATAAACCCTGGGCGTTGATGGATGAAAACCCCATCTCGTTAAGAATAGTGGGGAGGAATACGGGGAGGGAGCTAAAGGATACATTGCATGAGAAGTACATCAAGGCTGTGAGCCAATTCTAGTGATGACATTATTAGAGTTTGATGCCTCAAACATACACGTAAGATGAAACGTACCTTTGGATCCACAAGAGCTGCAGCAATATCAGCCCATTTGACACCTCCAACACGATGTTCTTCCTCTGCGCCTACTTGTCTTACGCCTCGTGCTTTAGCGACCGCTCTTTCTTCCTCGTTTAAGAAGCGTGCTTTCTCTGGACTATCGGGTAGGACAAAAAATGTCATGATTCCAGCGGCTACACATGGTAAACCTTCAACCAAAAATAGAAGACGCCAATTTGCAATCGCGGCATGTCCACTAGTAATTCCATATGCCAATGCACCGGCGAAGCATGTTGCCAAGGGTGCAGCACTGAGGAAAATTCCGATTCGTATACCGATTTCGTGACGTAGATAGAAGAAAGAAAGAAGGTATGGAATACCGGGACCATAACCGGCTTCGAAGAATCCGAGGAAAAACCTTGCTGCCATCATACCAGACCATGATTGGGTGGCTGATTGAAGAGTGGCAACGGTACCTGTGATGTTTGTGGTTAGTAATTGTATTTCTAGAAGACGCGTGGAACACATTGAAAATCCCTAAGTGCATTTGAAGTAAAGCTCGTTCAAACTATAAAATGCCTCAAGGATGATAAGATAGAACGATGAAATAGTGAAACTTACCCCATCCAACTACACAGAAACAAGCCCATACATGTGGGGGAAGAACCTTCCACATCAAAGCAAACCATTCAAACACAATGTATGCGATGTAGAAAATTGTCAACAACCATTCATATTCGCTGCTTGATATTCCGAGGTCTTTTGACATGCCCGCAGTTTTAGCATTTCTGATTGAATGTTAGAAAACCGACACATTTCCTCATGACAGGTACCTACCCAATATTCGATCGATCAAGATATGATAGAAGATCTATACAAATCAGTAAAAATTGTAAAACTCTGTAAATGAACTTTATAGATGTAACTTACACAATAACAACACCAATGGAATAAGGTGTTTATCCAATTTTCGCACAAGTCTCTTCTCTATCGCAGCATCAATGTGATAACCATTTTGAGCCGAAGGTGGTTCTCGAGCAGCTTCGAGTTGAGCAGTTTCTGGTTTTTCGAAAGTATCCATCTTGATGTGTTGTAATACCAAAAGAAGTTGAATTTCCTGGGAGCAAAATCAACGTCTTTTTCGGAGGGGTGATCAGTTGTGTCTTCTGTTGTGCTATTGCTCTTTTCGACTCCACTGCATCAATCAACAGACCGCGATTGGCTCAGCGCGGCACAAATTCTCTTGCAATTCAAAGTGTCACAAGGTACAAACACACTGTGAAATGAGAAAGGAAAAAAATGCGAGAACATCTTCATTTTATTTCCTGAATGCGGAAAAAGAAACCCCATCTTTACAACGTCACATCCGTACCCATGAGGAGAGAAAAAGGTAGGTAGTACCTAGTCATTTCCATGTTGAGCTATCAACACGAGGATCTTGATAGGGTGGATATTGTATTCGTGGAGACCCCGCGATTTTTTTTTGCGACGGCAATGTCCGTTCCTGTTAGAAGACGAGGGCTTATCCGACACTGGATGATTTTCCGTCATCTTCATTCGACGGTGAAGGATTGAGTTTCGACGAATGACCAAGCTTCCGGGCAGCTATGCAAGCTTTTTAATCTATCTGATGAGAAGTCTTATTAAAACTACCCCGCAGATCTGAAAGATCAATGTTGGATTTCATCGTGATGGACCAATGAATCAGATGACGTATCAAAAACAATAACCGTTTCCATTGGGAAAATGATAAAATTTTGTCGCTGGGACAAGTTGGTAATACGAGGAAGTCTGATGTGTTTGATAGGTACTTAGTAGGCATAGAGATTGGTTCATCATCTCATGGTCTGATTACCTAGTACTGTATGTGATTTTGATGGGATCTCCAGATTGGTACCACTGAGTACAGTACATTGGATCACGCTTGTGTGTATGTTGTATGCGTGTTGGTTGGCTCGTTGGTTGGTTGTTGGCGAGGTTGGTTGATGATCTCCATCACCGGAAGATTATTTCCGCTTTGCATCGGCTCCGAATTGCCAGAAAGACGATGGATGAATCCAAATGAAGCAAACAGCCGACAGAAACATTTTACGAAGCATTCCTCGAAGCTTCACTTCTTCGGTGTTAACTGCTGTCTGTTCAATTTCCGATTTCCGTTTATTATCCAGAGAGCTCCACTTTATCTCGTGCCGAACGAGGAGCTCTCGAGCTCTTCCGTGGTGGAATTTCGGAAGGTATCGCGGGGATTAGTAATAGCAGCGTAATCAAAAGAATTCTACTCAAAGTACAGACGGACGGAGTCTTTTACGATAACCCGAAGCGAAATACTCTGTCTAGAAAGTTGTGAGTACGGTAGCACGAAAGGAAATTCTACGTGGAGTCTTTCGAAGTTCAATGACGGATATTAGAGTTCATGAGGAAAGCGGAACGGATTGATCTATGAACCGCCTGATTATTGTGCACTTGACGTATTGATAAAGTTCCCAATTGATGGAGGGAATGTTAAGAGGTTGGAGGCGATATATACCAGAGTTCTTTATTTGATATCATCCAAAATTTGCACACGTATCACAAAATATCCTCCTCTTGGCGGGCAGTGAGTCGAAATAATTGAAGATATACATTTACAATCTCCAAAGCAACGGCATACCTAGTACTCCGTAGGATTGAGGCATCAAAGCAAGAAGGGAAGCCCGCCTAAGAATCACCACCATCACCATTCTAACCAAAATAAATAAGTAAGCACAGCCGACACGCGTTCATCGTACAAATCACGGCACCAATTCTCGGGACCGGCTCCGCAGTTTAAAAATGTGCTCAATGTAACGTTGTCGACCCGATTGATCCGTGATTTGCTCTATGCTCTATGTTCTATACTATAAGGAGATTTCTTACCTAGCTAGTACCTCGAGCCTTCCTAGTTTCCCTACCATGCTGACATGCTCCTTCCAAGGACCATGGGATGGGATCATTACTCTGTATTTCTCGGGACTAAATGACGTGCTGAAATTCAGGAACCAACAACGGCAGCGGCACAGTTAGATGGGTTAAAGAAAGGACTTCCCACATCCGAAAGGGACTAGGTCGGTAGTGGATCTCAGGTAATGAAATGAATGAAACATAAATATATTCGTGAAGCTGTCAACATGTCAAGTCATCTCATCAATTCAATATCAATACGTAAAAGTATAGGAAGAGTACATAGGACTTGTCCTCTTTGAAAAGGTCAAGAAGAGGTTATCGAATACGGCATCTGCACCTGCATTACTCCTGCGTCAATGTTTTGGGATGATCTATGCATGTGGCGAAAAGACTTTGGGGTGCTGTGTCTTTTTTGGAAGGAAATGGGTTGATAACTAGGTACGTACTGGATCACGAAGTCGACATATGTGTATCCTATTTTTAACTCTCGTTATTCTCGTTATTCTCGTCGCCCTCGTCGCTCTCGTTACTCACAGACTCTCACCCCCCCTCTCTCTCTCTCTCACCATGAACGAAAAGCACAGCATGACCCTTCGACATGACCCTTCAAAATGTCTACTCCTGATATATTAATCATTCCAGGTCACATACATCAAAAGTCTCAGCCACACCATTTTCTGTAAAACTTTATGATTTGGATCATCACCTTCTTTTCTCTTTCCTTTCGCCTTTTAGCCTTGAGTTGAGGTACTGTCTTGTGTCAATCAAAAGGGTTGATTTCCAAACACCACACGCGCAGAGACATCGCCAGCATCCATAGATCGTGCTCACTAACCATAATAATAACTTTCTCCTTCCTTTTCATATACCCAGATGCTAGATGCTAGATGCTAGATGGCTTCTTTCGGCCGACCAAGCTGCAGATAGATGTGTTTCCACCAGATGAAATTTCGCAACCTAGAAATCTGTTTAATATCCTTGGGTGGTCTTGGACCTCTTCTGGGCTTCTCCTTGGCCGATGGACCAACATTGCCCACAACAGGCTTCGAGAGGATCAAATGGATTATTCAGACACATCTTTTGCCAATGAGAATTATGAGACGAGGAGAATTAATCTATATTCCATTTCATCTAGTACCAATCCATACAGATGGTGCAAGAATGGTTTCAATTGAGAAATTTAAATGTTTTACTATGGCACACTGCTTTCATTTCTCGAATTTATATGATTCACTTTGATTCTATATAGATGAATTTACCTAGTCTGTTCATATACGAGGATGTAAAACAAGAGGTAGGTAGGTAGGCCAAGGGGAAGGGGGGAAGAGAGGCAAGGCAAGGCTCCAAGAGAACGGGAAAGTAATAAGAGAGGAGAGGAGAGAAAATAAAAATTAGTCATCGTTATGACAGGCAGATAATTTGTTGATGCCTTGAAGTTATGGCCACCACGGGCATCCACACTCCCACATTCATCAACAAGGTCTTCAGTGATATTTTTATGATTCGGCAGTGCAAGCTTGGTAGATCCCTTGGCAATAGCATCACCTTGCATGTTAAAAATACCACCCTATCACTTGGATGGCCACCTTGCACGTGCCCAGGTATCAAATGATTCTTTTGCCTGCCCTGCCTCCTGCTTGGTCCCCGCTACCTATCAACGTGTATACCCAAAATTCAATCTTTACTTGCAGATGACAAGACAGCAAGAGTTGCTGCAGTCAAAACAACATCAGCTGCAGTTTGATTACTCTTGATTACTCTTTCTCACTCTTTCTCACTCTTTCTTCATTTCTTCACTACTCATAAGTACCCGGTAGTCCTGCGTAAGTGCATCCATTATATGACCTAATCATCTTCTTCATCATCAACCACAGCCGCATCTTCGGTATCCACGGAGCAGGTACATTAACCAAGACCCTGACCTGAAATTGAAACAAGCCAGAGATTTTACGACGATTGATAACATTCGTTTAAACGTTCGTTTCTGGCTCAATCCGTCTGTTATTTGTTGGGCCTTTGCCTCTACCTCCTCCCGAGGGCTTCTTCCCCTTCGTACCCGCCGATATTCCGTTTGTTTCTTTGCCGCCGTGCGGTTCTATTTCGATTCATATAAATACGGAACCAACAACGGGAATGCAGAACACACCATACTCATAAAATACTAAACCCTCATCGCACATCTCTGAAAGCTTGGGAAAAGTGCCCGCCAATCACGACCAAAGTTTGCAGCAGGAAATCGCCCTGTTAATTAAATAGAATTTCGGGAACAGATATCTGTACCAAGGACCACTCAAAGGACATTAACCTCATTTATCAATTCCCATCTTTCTCCTCATATCCTCACTCAATTCCCCGTTGTTCCTCTTTATCCACTATCGAAGAAAAAGAAAATCCACCGCACCGCTGCTGCCGCGTAATCCTTACCATTCGAAAAGGGTTTGAATCACTCGAGTCACTCCATCTCAAACATAGCAATCCTCGTTCACGCTGTCACATCAAACCAAATAGCGCACAATTCTTGATCCCCACATACTCAAAAGCGCACAATTCGGTCAAGTATCCACAATTAAACCTTTCATGGGGATTTCTCTTACCCTTGAGAGTGAAGAATAAAATACGGAGTAGAGTGCTGAGAGAAGAATTGTACATACAAGTCTCCACTTTGGCAGATCCTCCCTATTCGATTTTTTATTATTATTCAAAGAGAAAAGGGAGAACGTCTCACGGAATGACGTTGAGTAAGTGAACTACTTCTATTCACACTCATTTTACCTTACAATTTTATATTTTCTTCAAAATTCCATCATTCCACCACAAAAAACTTTTGGGGTTTGTACCGGAGGAAGTCAAAGAACAGCTAGAAGCGCAAGCTATTACGAAAGTGCTGGCACTAGAAGATCTCAAGATGAGCTCTAGTCCAAAGAAGAGGTCGAGATCCGTCTCCCGCTTGCATCGCATTTCTGCATATCTTCCAAATATTTTTGTAGAGACAGACTCTAAATCTACTAAAGAAAAGGTTCCACCAATACCTCAAAATGTCAACATTCCTATCCGACAACCACCATCTCCCGAACCATCCGCAGATGTCCCACCCGTTCCTACGCTTCCTGCCATGCCCGCCAGTGCTCCGCCAGCACCACCGACTCAGCAAGCACCAAATAAATTACAAAAGGAACCACCTCATAATAATTCACCGCCAATCAATCCCTCTCCATCGCCAGATGTAACAGAACCGCCTGTCAATCAACTCACAGAACGAAGAGGCAGACACGGTTCCACTTCGAATGTCAATTCCCTTGCGCCTCCATCTCCATTCTCCGCGGTCAGTGGTAATGGCAATAGATCAGTATCGTCTCCCATATCCAGTCGACCAACTTCATACACTTCAGATGGTGAAAATAATGCGAAAGCATCAAAACGGAGGAGTTTTTTCCCGGTAAAAACGAAGTCGAGACATTCATCATCAAACTCCGGCTCGGATGGTAGATCATCTGCCTGGGTGATTGCAGGGGATCAAAAGATTGATTACAACATTTCGCTTGTAACCAATGGCGAGAAGGTAACAATACTATTGGCGCAACCTGTGATGAGATTATAGCTGACAGATAATAGGTGCCAGAATTATGGGAAGAATATTGTGATACATTTGTACATGTTTTTCCAGAATCATTTAGCCATGGCCCATCGTTCAAAGTTCCCTCTCTGGTCCTATCGTCATCTAGACCCCTTCACGAAATGATAACCAGCAGTATCGCTAAGCGGAGGTCAACAAGTTTGGATTCGGCTGGTAGGCAAAGTCCTGATGCTTCAACACAAACCGGTACACCCCCAGAAACCCCTGTAGATGGACCATCTGGATCGGAAGCGTCATCGGATTATATGAACCCATACCCTGAAAATAATGGAGAAATCCATCTTTACTTTCCGACTGAATTATCTACTGATGATCCTACTAAATTCTCTCCCGACGATATCCAAAATCTGATTAATGTTCGAAATTTCTTTGCGTTTATGACAGGTCAGCCACTTGTTGCCACCAAAAGTTGTCCTACTACATTTTACATATTCTTGGCCATATCTTCCATGTTACAGAAGTTCGAATTTAGCAATTATGATGGATCAACTTATGGAGAGGCAGCAGCAGCTAGCTTTGCCTTTTTCCTCGATGACCTTCGTTTAGCTGATGTTAGACAAAGTCGAGAGAAGACTATTGAGGCACTTATATTAGGAGAGCGCATGAGATCTACAGAATTATATCACGAGGCATTTGTACACGCAGCTGGAAAATGGCATTCAATCAAAGATCTTAAATCGAGTCTTTTCAAAGAAATTTCAAACAACACTCGGGATCGATTGGAACGAGCATCTTTGGAACTTTTCCAAAGACAACAACGCGCCGAGGAACGATTGGCTGATTTTGAGTACCCTGCTCTATTTTCTGGTGCAGCTTCGTCGAAGACTAGCGCAGAATCTAAAATTGCTAGATTCCAAAATTGGAAGACGAACTACCTAAATATGAGGAGACATGTACTATCATACTACAAGATAGTTCATGGTCAATGGCCACCAAAGCACAAGACCAAGAATCATTTTGTTGAAGGTGGCTTGAATCGAAAAGTACTTAAACAGCTGTATTCTGACATGTGCAACCTTTACGACTTTATGGCTGATCGAGATGCTATCACGACTCGATCCATGGACTCGGAAGATCAAGATGTGGCTCATGCCAATCCAATTCATTTGGCAGCGAGAAAAATCTTGGCCGAATTCGACAGATCTTCTCCGCCAGTTTTACCACCCATTCCATTCGACGTACCTAAAATTCCAACTATGGCATCTATTGAACCTGGCTACCCTCTTCTATCACCTAAGGATCAACACAAGGCATCAACTAGAAAACTCAAGGAATACGAGCTACTTCTTATCTTAGCCAAGAGTCATAACCTCGATGCTGATAAGAAAACTCCATTTATGGAGATGCACAAGTCATTTGAGGAGAAGGAATCCAAGGGCAAGAATGTTCAAGAATTGGCCGATCAAAGATATGGACATTGGTTGTTCCTCTACGCAGTCATCCAATCGCTTCCTATGCTTGTTGTAGACGTGGACAATTTACGATACACAGAAGGAGTAGATTACTTCTTGTGCCAGCCACCTTTGGGTAATCTTCCTTGGTTGGAAGATGCCTCGGGAGTGAAAATGGCATGGTATGGAGTTCAAGGTGGTCAAGGAGTGGTTAGTTTGCCTAGTGACGTTGTCAATTATGGTACAGAAGGTGTTTACCGCAGATCGCATTGTTGGACAGTTGCTCAGAAATGGATCAATAATGCTGAAGCGAATGAGATCTCACAACCTTTCTCGCAAGATGACCAAGAAGAAGGAGTAATGTCACCACTTGCGCCACCTCCTGGATTTGGTGGAAGCTTTAGTCGACCAGATAGTCGAGGTCGCGATAATTCTTCTCGAAGATCAAGTGTCGCGAGTAATGGTATGCTTGGAGTTGATAACCGGAGCAACAGTCGACAATCTCAACGAAACAGTGTTATGTTGGGTTTGGAAATGTTACCAATTCCAGGTAATATGGAACCTGGTTTCAGATCAGACTCGCCAGGTGGACGCGAATCGCCTGTGAGTGCTATGGGAAGACGAGGTGTATCACCTTATAGCCGCAACAGTGTGATTAGTCGCAATAGCGTTGCTAGTCTTCATGCGGATGGTCGGCCCGTATCTTCAGCTGGAAGAAAAGAATCGACTTTCGATGACATTCTTGGTACGTCTGGTTTGGGACAAAAAGAAAAGGGAAAGAAGAAATGATGTAAAGTGATTGAAATTTTTTTTTTTTATGTTTACATGAGGGATGGAGTTTGAAAAATTATTACCAAACTATACGTATGCAAGTGCGTGTGCGAGGATATGGATATTAATATAGGATACCAAAAAACTTTGAATGTCTGTGCGATATGCGGTATTGCGGAAAGCGAGCATATCCTGAGGGAGCATTAGTTGGGCGTTTTTGAACTTTTTTTTCTTTTTTCCCTTCTAGGGGATGAATATATAGGGAGGGGGTTGCGAAAGTAGTATGAAATCAGGGAGGGGAATCTTTTTTCCTTTTCTTGATCTACTTTTCGATGGGTTAGTTGTGGGGTGATGGATGAGTAATTTAAGAATGCGAGATAGGGGGTGGGGGAGTGTATGCATGGATTTCATGATGTTGTAGAGAAATAGTGAGGTAGTCAGGTAGTGAGATAGTAATGAAGATATATACACACATGTATATATTGTGAAGATACATTCAAGATATTCCATTCGAATTGATAGATGGATGAATTAGTGTATGAGATTTGAGTGATCAAAAATTGAGAATGAATGGATTTAATGTGGGGTTTGTAGTGTTGGGTTGGAAGGGAGTGGTAGGTAGTTTGTGGTAGGTGAGTGAGGTGAGAAGTAGAATGAATTATATATTAACCTGAAGTCACATTGAGTTTACCTATCTAGGTGTTGATTTTAAACTTTATATTTTTTCATTATCTTTTTCTTTTTTATTGATGGGTTTAAATGACGGGTTTAAATGAGTGAATCTTGTGGTTTGAAGGGTTGAAATTTGGGGAATTTGGGAATTTTGGGAATTTGTGAGAGAGAGTAATTGGTTTTGGTTTGTGGGGTGAGTGAATGAGGAGAGTGAATTAGGAGAGTGAATTAAGAGGAAGAGGAAGAGGAAGAGGAAGAGGAAGAGGAAGAGGAAGAGGAAGAGGAAGAGGAAGAGGAAGAGGAAGAGGAAGAGGAAGAGGAGAGGAAGAGGAAGAGGAAGAGGAAGAGGAAGAGGAAGAGGAAGAGGAAGAGGAAGAGGAAGAGGAAGAGGAAGAGGAAGAGGAAGAGGAAGAGGGAGATGGAGAGGAGGAAAGAGAGGAAGAGGAAGAGGAAGAGGAAGAGGAAGAGAGAGTAGTAGAAGAAAAAGGGAGTAAGAGAAGGGGTAAGAGAAGGAATAGTAGAGAAATAGGAATAAGGAGAATGAATTTCGAGATTGAATTACAAAAGTAAATTAGGGTAGTGAATTATGAGAGAGTAAGATCAAAGAGTTAGAGTAAGAGAGGGAATAGGAGAGTGAGTTATGAAAGGGAGTAGGAGTTAGAGTATAAGTGTGGATGAAGTTGTTGAGTGAGATAAATGAGATGAGTGAGGTGAATATGGAGGGTGAGTGAGGAGGGTGAATTAAAATAGTGAAAAATATTGAGGTTGAGAGGGAGGGAATGGTAATAAGGAGGGTAATAAGAAGGGTAATGAAAAGGGTATATGAAGTTAGTGAATGAAATTGAGTTTGAGAAGAGAAGGGTGGAGAGAATGGAGAGAGTAGATGAGAATAAGTGTAGGAGGCAAAGATTCAAATGGAGAGCTAGAAGAGGAAAGCTAAGGAAGGAGAGCTTAGGAGAGGAAAAGTGGATAAGAGTGAATAAAGGAGAACCGGAGAGAGGGAATTTTAAGGGAGAGCTTAAAAGGAAGAGCCAAAGAGAGGGAGTCAACGAGAGAAAGAGTAAATACTAATGAATAAGGAAGAGCTGAGGAGGAGAGGCTTAAAGAAGGGGAGCCTAGGAGGAAGAGTCTGGGAGAAAGAGCTTAGGAGAAGAAAGGTGCATAAGAGTGAATAAGGGAGAGCCAAAAAGAGGGAAAGTCTAGGAGATGAAGAGTAAATGAGAGGAAGAGTGAATAAAGAGGGTGAATAAAAAAAAGTTTCTAATAATAGAATTAAAGATAGAGAGGTTGAAGGCTAAAGCCGAGAGGGAGAAGATGAAAAGAATGAGTCATCGAGGTAGATAAAAATTGGGAGAGAATAAAAATAATGAATGAGAATGAGAGAGAGCGAATAAGATTGGGAGAGAGTGAATGTGATTGGGAGAGAGGGAATGAGACTCGAACTGTAAGGGGAGAAATAAGAGGCGGGAAAGATTAAACAGGTTCAATAGGATGGGGAGGATGATCAAGGGTGAAAAGAGTGAATAAGAGTAGAGAAAGTGAATAGGCTAGTGAAAAAAGAAATTGAATAAGGAGAGTAGTATTCAATTTGAATTTGAAAATAGTATAGAAATTAGAATACTGATCATAAGAAGAGTTGGATTAAAGTCAAAGTAGAAATATAAATTGAAATGAAATAAAAACAGAAATAAATTTACAGGTATAGAAGTAGGAGTAAAAGCTAATATAGAGTTGATGAATAAATGAATGATAGTATGTAAAGAAGACTTTGAATACGAATTTTAGAGGAAATTTAAAAATGAGCTGTTAGATTAGAAAGAGATCTATAAGAGGGGAATTAGAGAGTGATATTATAGTAAATGCTATAGTATAATCTAGCATCATGATACGCGGATTCTAGTATCTTAGATAGCGTCTATTCTGTTAGGAATAAGAATGAGGTCTGATACCCCTTTAATGTGATTTTAGTTCTTCTTTTGAGGCAATTTAGGAGTAAATGATTGGAGAGGGAGCTTTTGTAGATTGGATTAGAGATTACCTAAGGTGAGGGAGAGGGTGAATGAGGAGAGTGAATATGAATAGAAAGAGTGAATAGAAAGAGTAAATAGAAAGAGTAAATAGAAAGAGTAAATAGAAAGAGTAAATAGAAAGAGTAAATAGAAAGAGTAAATAGAAAGAGTAAATGTAAATGTAAATGTGTTTAGATAAGTGTAAGTTAATATAGATGAACAAAAATAAAGAAAATAAAGGAAATGAGAAAGGAATATAGGATATAGATATATATATTAAATCAAATAGATGAGATAGTGAAATTACTTAAATGATTGAGTTGTAGAAAATAAACATGAGATAAACATGGAAAATAATAATAGAGAGTAAATTATAATGTAAGTAGAGAGGGCTAGAAGATTAAGTATTGGAAATTTTAAGAAGATTAAGAGAATGAGGAAGCTGAGAGTAAGATAAATAGAAGAGATGAGAAGATTGAAAGGTTAGTAAGGGTGTAAAGGAAATAAGAAGTTAGTAATAAAGAGATCTAATAAATAAGCGTATAGTAAAAGATATAAGATTATAAAGTATAAATTATAGAAAAATAGAATATACTTAAAGGAAGTAAAGAGGTGAAAAGATGAAAGATGAAAACTCCTTAGATTAAAAGATTAAAAAGAGAAGTAGTACTTAGATATTTGTAGTATATAGTTGTAATTATATAAATTCGATTTGAATTTGGATTCATATTAAAAGTATAAGAATAAGGCAGATAAAAGTCGAAGTATTATCTAAGTAATTGAAAATTAAGTAGTTGAAGAATACGAGGACTGATTTATATTAAGACTTTTGCGGACTTTTCAAAGTTTTTTTATATCAGAAGGTGTTTTGTATCTCTTTCTATGTTGAATTAGATAATTAGAGTATGTATTATTATATGTTGAGATTATAGAACCTATGATTTACAGTACTAGTCAACTGCTATTAGTCGAAATTCATTTTCATACCAAAAATCGATATTCTGCTATATTTTCAAATTCAAAAATCTTTATAAATAATAACTTAAGTTTATTAAAACTTTGTTTTTATAAAATTTATATAATGATAATTGATATTTTTAATATTTTAAAAGTCTAAGAAATTTCTAATATTAAAATTTATAAGATTGAATTAAAATGTTAAAAAATTTGCTTGATTTTCGTTTATTTTATTAATAAATTTAATCATTTTGAAAATACTTCAATTTTTAATCTATATAATATAATAAAAAAAAATTATAAAAATAATTAATCTTATTTTTATTAAATTTCTTATAAAAATAAATCAGTTAATATAAAAAAATATTTATATTATATAATTTATAATAAAGAAATTTATAAATGTAAATGATAAGTTTTGATGCGAAAACGTGTTTCGGCTGATAGCAGTTAGCACTTGCTGTAATTTAAGGCATACCAGCGATTGAAAGAACGATTCCTGATTTTTCCTTCTGAGTGATAGAGGAGTAAGATAAAAAGGAGAAATTGAAGAGGAAGTAGATAAAGATATAGTTTGAGTTTTCTAATCAATAAACCACGTTCTAATGACAGTTTGTATAGTAGTATATACATACTAAAATGTATACGATATACATCAGTGTACTCAGTGTTTACAAGATAACACATACATATATATACTAGTAGAAAGAACGAATGTATCTTTTCAATGTGGAGATAGCGTGAACTGAGTATTCTTGAAAGGATTATTGACTTAATCCTATCTTGTATCAAATTGCTATGTAAAATGTGAAAGATCAGTGATGTTAATTAGTCGGACCACCGTTATTTTAAGTCTCAAGATGAAAGAAAAACACTACCTCAGTCTGTAAAAATGTGATATTCTCGTGTCTGTTTTCATAGAATCAGGATGTCTTACCTTCAAACCAGAAATTCAATAGGTGTGGTACGAGATACCGAATATCAGAATAATCGAACGTGAGACTTTTTGAAATTGAAAGACACCTTACATAAAGGTATGTGGGAACAAACAAAACTTATCAAATGAAGAGCACTGTATTTGAGAAGCAACATGCTCTTAATCAAAAGGAAGTTTAGAGAAAAAGAGAGGCGAACTATCAGATATACGTATATTGACAGAAATACGAAGCAACGGTTATATGGAGCCGAAGGAGGGGATCCGAAGATTCCGAATAAATGAGGGGCGGGTTGCATCTGGGTAAGGATCAAAGTTTCAGGACGAAAATCCGAACACGTGTAGCCGTAAGGCATGGCTATCTGGATGGGAATTGAGCGGGTACTTGGACCACTTAATTGGATTTTGGTGACGTAGTGAAGGGGTAGGGGGTAGATGTGGTGGATTTGGTGGGTAGAATTAATGGGGAGAATTGATGGGTCGATAGAATGAGCATAGTGAATGGGTTGAATGAATCCGTATAGTTAAAGTTTAGAGTGAATGCACAGAGTAAATGTGTAAAGTGAATGGACTCAGTCGATTGAATGGGTAGAATCAACGGGTAGAATGAACAGGTACAACGAAGAGGTGAAACAAAGAAGTAGGATGAATGAGTAGATTAAATAGGCAGAATGAAGAGAAAGAGATATTTCTGGAAGTTGGCGAGATTTAAACTCTGATTTTTTGCGGTGTTTTCCTTGAAAAGAACCGGCTTACACGCAAAAGAAAACTGACGAGAAACTTCAAAGAAAGACCAACTTGCAGGACTCTGCTGCCCTCTTTTCCTCTCCTATGACTCTTCGTACCTGTCTTCAGATCAATCATGTCGAAAATTGACTCAACCAGTTCAATTAAGCCTAAATCCACGTGATTTCGCCCCTTTTACAACGTTCCTAGCCCGGTGAATTGTCACTCAACCGTTTTTTATTGCCTGCCCCAAGCTTTTACAAAAGAAGGTTCTCTAGCCAGCTGAGCAAGATTAATCTTGATTATCTTCACCCTTTACAAGTTTTGCCTCGCAAGGTGGGTGAAGCAATGTTACTGTAGCAGTAGCTGTGGAGATCGTATTGGATGAAGGGTTGTTGTCACTTGTCATGATGGGGCTGAGTTTATGTATGGGGTGGTGAGTGGAGTGGAAAGTCGTAAGATTTGACGTGCCGTCTTGGCATGCATGGGGCCGGCCGCGGCGGGTTGCCGGTTAATCACGTTCTTTAGCGAGGAGCAGGGGGTGGATTTTCAGAACACGAGAGCTAACCGTGCCAATTATGTGGGGGTTGGATATTTTGCGTCGTTGAAGAGGTTTAAGCTTATTCTTCTGCAGGATCTTGTGATTTGCGGGCTTTTCGACGGCCAATTTGAATTGAATCGGTAGGGGTTGAGGTGGGTCTCAATATTGAGTTGCATCCGGTCTTGAAGTGTTTGCGGGGTAGGTAGTCGCAAAAGATTTTAAGAAGATAAAACGAGGCTGAAATGTTTAGAGAGGGGAAAATCAGGGTTTTCATTGGAGTTTACGTAAAATCATTAATTCTAGTTGTCAATTTCGTTGAAACATCGAAAAAGGAGTGCGCTTATGTTTGGTTCATGATACGATTCATGATTTTAGAAACTATTATACCTACCAGTAAACGATACGCTGTGGTGAAACTCAAGTTGAGTACACATGAGGGCTTTAACAGAGATAGGATTCAGCCTGTCGTTTTTATTACATGGATATCTATAAGACAAGAAGGCCATCTACGTAGGTGGAAAATTGTGAAGCTCTTCTTATTTTATACGAGTTGCATGAGAATGCTTAAGCCATTGATGAGTAAGAAAGGAATTATGTGAGCGGTTAGCGGAGTTGAGTACTGGTGACAGAAACAGCCAGGACGGACTAGCGGATACTACTGTAGGAGCGGGGGCGGGCTCGGAATTAAGTGTGGGCATCCGTTAACTAATCGGTGAATATCAGAGTGACACGACCTAGGTTAAAATCTAAATGATTGGATGGGAATATTAAACCCTGATAGACCCATTTGGGAATGAAGAATTGGCATTCAAACCTCATTTAGGATCAGGATTCGGGTTTAAACCTATTTAAGAACAGAAGTCTAGCACTGCGCTAATGCAGCACATTTTAGGTTCAGCTTCTGAACGTCAAGCCTCAAATTTTGACAGATCCTAGTGGAAATCATAGCTGTCAATGAAATAATACGTATACTGGGATTATTAATCAATGGAAATACAATGGTACTCTCAAAAAAGTTGAGATTGGAAACTATGTGACTTCTTTTTGTTGAGTGCGGACTTAAGGCATGGAGTAATCCTATCAAAGCTATCAGTGCTGTCTTCTCTGCATAATATAGAGAGGATATCTAGGTCATAAATACCTTTGATGATTGAAGTTTATCTGTTCCATATTTAGCTTTAAATTCCAAGCATTATCTGTCCCCACTGGTTGCCATAAAATTGCGGGGATTACAAGGTGCTTTCAACGTGGTGGAGATGGGAAACGGGAATACATGTCACTACGAACTTTATCCAAGTTAGTAACAGTAGATTGACTGTATGCACCACATGAGGTCTCCATGGTAGGCCCTCTCAACAAGTGACTGAATTGGTTGAATGAAGGGCTGGGATTCTTCATCCTCGCCGATCATCATACGGGAAAATCTTTTAAGGGAATTCTGTAGGCTGAATACACCCTAGACTTTGTCAGTACTAGAAGGACAATTTTAGAACAATAAGAACATACCGCAATCTAGTTGCGGTATGGTACCTGTCAATTACCAAGTGCTGCCACTTGACAGATCATGCGAGCTATTTTTTTTTCCTCCATGTATCATGCGGGTCATCTCGATCTCCCTTCGCCTGGGTCGTTGGGTCGTTGGGTCTTTGCGTTTTTGCGTGGCGAGTAATCCGGATTCGTATCGAAACTTCACGTTGAATTCAAGACTCGTCTAGAACATTAGAACGGGGGATCACGTTCAATAATGTTAGCGTTCTTTGTTTTGTAGATCTTTTTCCTCTTACACTTCAATAATGCAGTCTGAATGCCCTCAACTGGAACATTTATGCTTCTCGGCATTTCTTGGTAATCCTTCGTTCCTACAGAAATGGAAAACAATAGCGAATCATGAGACGCAGACCTCTACTTCTCAACATGTTCGCTGGAGCCAGTCAGTCAGAACAGGAAATAACAAGGAATATGAATATACAACACGAAGGTGAATATCAAGAACCGCCATCGAAGACTACCATTCGGAGGTGATTTTCCCCATAAAACGGCTATGATCGGCATTCGAGGCGTCGCTGAAAGGACCAGATGCTACTTTCCTCTAATGAGAAGTTGGTAGTGCCAGTCTAGATCCACTTGCTTGCTTCTCATGCGAGAACATCAAAGACTCCACCTACGTGGATGGCTTTTGTAACCAAAAGACTACGTGCAGCTGGGATCTGTTGTTAGGATAGTACTTCAAAGTGGTATATCACATCTCTCGAGAAATCTATAAAGAGTAGAGGAATTCCCAACTCAAACAACATCAATCACATCATCAATCACATCAATCACATCAACAAGCCTTTCAAACAAACAACATTTACCAGCTATCTCAAGCTTCCAAACTTCCAAAACTTCATTCAAAATGCACGCCTCATTCTCCGCCGTCGTCACCACACTCCTCGCTGTCAGCGTTGCTGCTCTCCCAAACGTAAGTTCCTGACATCTCATTTCCTCAGATCTATCAAGCTAATATTCAATTTCAGAACGGTGGTGGTACCCCAACCAGCACCTGGGGCAGCACTTCCCCAACCGGCGCTCCCACTTGCTCCGGAACCAAATACACCTGTGTATCCAAAGGACTTCTCAACATCCTTACCTGCACCAACCTCTTGAACGGTGTTGGCATTGACATTCCAATCAATATTCTTAAGAGCCGTGCTCCCGAGGAAGGTGTAATCGAAGCTCGTACCGGCAGCAAAGAGGGAGATTATTGCTGCACTACCGTTGGATTGCTCTCTCTCAGCTGTATCAATGTTGGAAATGGTGTTGATCTCTCAATCCCAATCTCTATACTATAAGCAACATTCTTAGGCTTTGATGGGTGGAGGAGATGATGATGGTGCAAATATGACGTTGGGGTTGGGAGAGTACTTGTTCTGTGAGAATTGATGGGGAGGTGACGTGGTTTCTGAAGCAGTTGTTTTTGTTGCTGTTCGCGTATACGATGATGAATTTGTGAGGTGATGAGAAGTTGATGCAGTTTTGCATAACATTCATTTAAATGCAAATCTATTATGATCAATCTTTTGACTGTGCAATGTGATCTTATCTTCAAGTCTTTTGTGAACAGGCTCCGTTAAGTCCCGGGTTATTTGATAATTGACCCAAAGAAATTGAGTCATGGATCTGGCTACGAAGTTAAGCTTGAAATCTGCTTACATGAACGTACATTGCCACTTGTCACATAGATGCTCGCAGGCGACTCTACGAACCAGCGCCCTCCATGAATCAAATTTAAGACCAAATCTTATAGTTCCAAATCGACTGTGACCATTGTCAAATCCAGAGATATCATGTAAAACCTGCGTGGCCCTAACATCATATCGATCATATGATCTTGAAATTTGACATCTTTTGGTACTATGATATATCATTGTAATGATTGATAGCGAGGACGAGTGGTTTGTGACTGTGACATCACATTATTATCAAATTTGAAATGATTGCCCTTTCAGAACAATAGCAAAACTCGACCATAGTATCAGGGCGATTATAAGGTCTTATTGGATTCTAGGGCTGAGTTGTGTGGACAGGAGATGGCTCTACTCCTGATGGTATCACCCCACTCACAGGTATGGGTAAAATGTATTATCTAGTCTCTTCTTAGAAGATCTGTCTAATTTCTCTCCTTCTATTCGTGGTTATATGATGGTGTAAACCGACAAGTTTGGTAAGTGATGATCAATCTGCCATGCGTTAACCCTGCAATTAACATGATCGAGTAGGAATCATCATTATTAATAAGTGTCCTCAGACTTCATGAACTTTGATGTTTTCGTACGTTTTGTAGCAATGCATAATTAAATGAGAATGCATAATTAAGTGAATGTCTTGTATTCATATCACGTTGATGTTTACATGACTTCACGTGGTAATGTGTCAAGTTTGTAGTGAATTTGCTGGCTACTTCTAGCTTAGCGAATCGACGTCGCATCTACGAATCCCCTACATTCGAGTCTTTCTAGATTCGAATCATCAATGAGATCTTAATACGGTCCTCATATTCATGACTATACAACTACGAGAATGTGCTAGCGGATAAATTAGCGACTATTCTCCGCGTCGCTTTCTCATATAAAGTTTACAATCATCACAACTGTCCAACAATACTACGAAGATTTATCACAACGATATCTTATTCTTTATTACCTAACACGATATCAGCAGAAAGATTCCCGTACAATCTACATATAAGATAATTTTACCTTATCAAGATGACCAGCGATACGTTGATCATAGACGCAGATGGAGACCTAGTTCTCTCATTCGATCCAGAAGAATGTTCATCGACTCAGACAGATGATATCTGGATCGACGCCGATTCGTCAGAAGATCATTCTCAGATTATAGATGCCGAGCCATCAAATGCAGTGTCCAGGATTTTGATTAAGGCAACCGATGTCTCGCCGACCGACATATCAATTGAAGAACGATCCGAATCAAACGATAATTCGTGGGTCGAGCTGAAGCAAGTCCGCATGCTAGTCTCATCCAAGCATATGTCCGTTGCTTCGCCAGTATTCAAAGCTATGCTCCAGGCAAGCTCTCAAGAGGGTATCGAACTGAAGAAAACCGGCAAGGTGGAATTGTCGCTTCGTGATGAGGATTCAAAGGCATGGAATATTTTACTCAACATCATACATGGACGTTTCAGATCTGTTCCTTTGGATATCAATTTGCCCATGTTCACCCAGATTGCGCTCTTATGCGACAAGTACCAAATGTATGAGGTTGCTTATGCGTTCACACCAACTTGGAAAATGTCGGCTGGCCACGACTCTGTGTCGGGAGAAGATATACCTCGCTGGATCTTTATAGCCTGGACTTTCAATATGACAGATGTACTCGAAGAGATCACGAAAGGCCTTGCTCTCAATTATACTGGAAATGGAATCGAAAAGTTGTTCAGCATGACTACTCTACCGATTCCCCAAATTGTTATGGGTAAGCATCTCAGGTTTTATTCAGTCTAAATCCTGTTTCTATTTGATCATATAACAAGCGCTGACACGACTTTTATAGATGAGCTTGAAAATTCTCGCCAGCATGCGATTGCTGAATTGGTTGATATGTTTGATTACGCCATACAGCGATATCAAGAAGATAGTTCCAAGTGTACAATTCGCACCAGATGCGGTGAAGATAGAGTGTCTTACCGTAAGCAATGTGATTCAATGATACTAGGCATGTTATTGAAAGGTGCCATTGAGCAACAGATCTACCCACTTCCGACAAAACCATACAAAGAGTGGTCTTTTTCTATCTTGGAAAAGAAGATCAAGTGTATTAAACCAACTTCATTGTGCGCTGCTGTGTCATTGATACCAGATGTCCATTGCGATCAAGACCATGGAATCTCTATGATTATGACATCATGGATTAAACATACTGCACACGAAGTCACTGGGCTTCAATTGGCATCTTTGAAGAAGGATGCATCACCGGAGATTCAGTGGCCAATTCGATGAGAGTGAGAAAGTCTCATTTTTCATGGCAAATATGGTCAACCTGTGAAGATTCGATCTTACTCCATGATTGAAAATATGGATAGATCTTTGATATACTGGAGATGAGGACGTAGATCGTGTCTTATCAGCCAACGGTTTGATAGACGGGTAGATTCCATAGATATTGTAATATTCAATATACAACACAAAATGCAACTATTTCTTGCCGTGTAAAAATATAACCATGTGAAAATATAGAAAAAAGCTCTGAAAAAACAGGAAAGGTAATTGATGGATTATAGACCTTTTAATTATACGTCCGTGTCTTCAATGCATCGAGAAGAAGGGCATTACAGCCCGCTTGTTTGCAGTTCCATCGTTGCCTCCGGCGCATGTCGTTCGTGATGTTCTGTCTGTTGTGAGACAATTGCGGGGCTGGCGCGGCTCGGTGGCGCAGCGGACATTCTGACAATGAATCACGTGCTCATGGCAAGGCAGCACTTTGGATTCGGTTTGTTCTTGCATCTTCATTTTTACATCATTGCCTCTTATGCGTCTCCCTCGTTTTGCATCAAAATTCTTCCTACAGAACTCTACAGAACCCTTACAACGAGCTTTAAGAATGGCGGGCCAACAATCAAAAATCCCCACCCGCGTGATGGTCATTTCAGACACCCACACCTTCGAATTCAACGATGCCGATATTCCTCTCTCACTCTCTAAAATCCCATCAGATATAGATGTTCTTCTTCACTGTGGTGATCTCACTAGATTTGGCGGCTTATCCGAATATCGCAGCGCTCTTCAAATGTTGAAAGCCATCCCCGCCAAGTTAAAGCTCGTGATCGCTGGAAATCACGATCGGACTTTGGATAAAACATGGGTTGTACGCAATCTTGGCCACTCATACACCAGCGAAGAATATAAAGCGGATTTAGAGGAATGCGCTGCGGGAAATGAGATTATGAAGGGTGATATGGCGCGGGATGCTGGTGTTACTTATTTGGAGGAGGGGGTTCATGATTTTAGCCTGGAGAATGGAGCAGCGTTGAGGATCTATGCAAGTCCATATACACCTGAATTTTGCGGGTTTGGATTCGCGTATGAAAGATATCAGGATCGCTTTAATGGTCCAGATGAACTTGATTTGGGGATGCAAAGCGTGCATGGCGCGGTGCGAATACCGAGTTTTGGAGAGGATGATGGCGGTAAGAATATTGACATTGTCATGACTCATGGTCCTCCAATGGCCGTTTTAGACGAAGTCTATGGACGTGCTGGACATGTAGGATGCTGTAATTTAATCAAGGCACTGGAAAGAGCGAAACCGACATTATTTTGCTGCGGTCACATTCATGAAGCGCATGGTGCAGAAGTAGCGACTTGGGGAGAGGATGGCATTTCAAAGATGAGAAAGGTTGAATGTGGGTGGCCGGAGTTGAATATTGAACCTATTGAAGAAGGTAAAGAAACTTTAATGGTCAATGCAAGCATAATGAACTTGAGGTATCAGCCAACGCAGAAGCCTTGGTATATTGAACTCGCTCTACCTAAAACGACGGCAACGGAGATCTAGCCATAAAGGGTTCATAGTGAATAGCGTTTATATGAACACATTTCTCCAAGGTTAAAAATGAAGAAGGCATTCAGTAAATGCTTTTGGGCGAAGGGGCATCAAATGTAAGAGCTCAAGGGAGTATCGATTTGGATCATAAGCAGAATATGGTATACAGATTCAAAGCAAATGTGAACAAGAGCGAATTTCCGCCAAGAACTGTACCACAGCTAAACGAAAGATTGCGACAAAAATTTAATGCTCGTGTGAAACCGACTAGAAGGCATGTAATAAAGCTATCATTACAAAAAATAGTTTTATAATATGTTACCACTTACTCCGCAAGCTTTCTAGACCTTCTGCGCAATCTTGCTGGGAACTTGCCCTTGGGAGGTAAAACCCCCAGTGAAAAGTACTTAAAGTCCGGCTCTGGTCTTCTATCACCAGTCAACTCAATATCAAATTTGGACAGAAACATCGCTATACTTCCGATAGATTCTTGTTTTGCGTAAAACCGACCAGGGCATATTTGCTGACCACCACCATAAGGGATCCAGGAGCCACTGACCGTGTCCGTCGTGAGTTTAGGTTTGGTGATTTTTTCAGATGGATGTTTACCTGAATCTGATTTTCTTGGGCCGCTGTATGGGTTATTGGGGTAAAGAATGAAGCGTTCGGGCCAAAAACTATCAACATCATGCTCTCCGTTTGCACCTTCATTCCAAACGTTCTTGTCATGGCCCGCAAACCAGATACTTGCTAGAATCATAGCTTCTTTAGGAAATCTCCATGGACCTAGCTTAAAATTTGAGGAGACAGTACTACGCTGAAGTGCCGCGGCATTTCGTAATCTCAGCTCCTCGCAATAAATTGATTGGAGGAGGAGGTTTGATAGAAGATCAGGCATTTGTTGATCAAAAGTTGCACTTGGATGTAGTTTTGTAATGGAAGCAAGTTCAGCTTGAACTTGTGAGAGAAGATCTGGACGACAAATAATATCTAGTATACACCAAGCAATTGCTGGAACACTATTGGAATTCGCACTGTGGAGCATTAGGGCATATTCAAAAAATTAGGTTCCATATTTCAGATCAACTTACCCCCATATCAAACCCAGATCGTTAGCCGCACGAGCCTGATCACCGAAGCCGTTAATCTTAGAAAGATGGCGTGCTCGGTCCCGGAAAAGCCTCGAGCCATAATATGGCTCCCATGACTTCTTATCGAGTTCCTTGTCATCATGATCGACATGTGCTTCTGCTGATCGATGCCATTCAAGGATACTCTTGACCATTTTATCTCTTATTCTGTACGCGCCGGGAATGAAAAATCTCGGAATACCCTTGAGTGGTCCTCCAACTTGAGAATCAAAGTTCCAAAAGTCCTCGGTGAATGTAGGATTAACTTCAAATATATGGGACCCACAAAGGGCAAGCGTATTAGCATTGAATACTGAATTTTGTACAAAAGAATACAGATCCGGTATCTCCAGCCATTCGTTCGTTCCCATATCAACTTTATCCAACTCTGTGCTAAGATTCGTCAGGAACCGAGTTACAACTTCTGCTAATCTCACACCGGTGAGGTTATCAGTATATGCTTGATGTGAGATTTGATGATAACGTTGGTCTGCGGGCAAAGGGTTGCTATTTGGCAGTGGCTTTGGTGAGGTTCCGGTGTTGTCATCCAAAAGTACAGAACTGGCCTCAGGAGGAGCGCCGAATATTCTTTCCACGATAGCCGCCATGGCAGGAATAGCAGTAAGATTCCGAGAGCCGCGGAATAGTTTGAGGATATATTCTGGCCCTGAAACAAAGTAGAAGCTATCGGAGGCTACTCGAATCCGAACAGGTACATGAGGACCGAATCGTTTTCTGGTCGCATTCATAAGTAAACCCAAATAATCATGGATGAATTGCATTAAACTTACATAAGATGTGCCATATATCCACGAGTGTCAACAGAAAAGGCTAAAAGGTTTCCAAACATAAAATCCGCTGAAGGATCAATCGCGGGCAGTTTGTCATTATTTTTACTGCGCACAGTAATGACAGATTTGATTGTAGTGACGAGATAAGACACCATGAAGGGCAGAAGGCAGACATACACGGCTATTGCCTTCCAGCCTCCGTAAATACAGATGTTATCCAGTATTTTCATATTCAATGCAATAATGTTCAAGAGCCTCGGGAGAGAAGAACTTAACAGAGAATGAATTTTAACTCATGTTTCAAACAAAATAGGTCTATTTCCCTAACTTCTGGCACTTGCCTTTTATTGTCCTTAGTATTATTCCTTGAGTCTTCAAAATGTAGGGGCAAATGTTTGCAAATTACCTATTGTAGGAAGTTCTTTGTTGTCGTAGATCTGTTCCAACCCCTCCATCTAGCGGTGGCATCATTCCGATATTCCATCTTGTTCAATTCGATTTATTCATGAAAAGATGACAGTAGACTTCTACTAAGTTAATCACGATGATTGTAAGAGTTGGTATCGATGAACACTATATTTGGTCCTGGAAAGTTGGAGATGCATGCTAGGTAAAACGAAGCCTGGTGGTGGTGGCCGACAGTCCGTGCTTACATAAGCCTCTTGTGGTATTTTTTAACGCTGGGCTCCTTTCCTTTTCTATCATGACCAGTCATTCAGAAACCGTGTGTGATTACAAGATCATATCTCGGCTTCAGAAGTTCAAGAGGCTTGCCATAAATTCATATATTCTTGATGAAAGTTCATTAGGGCCAGAGTACATGTGGAGGTGAAGGTATGAGAACATCATACATGTTGATTGTTTCTCACGACCAGTGATGCCACGATGATTGAAGAATGTTGAGTGTGGGATACAGGAACAAAAGACCAAAGAGATATAGAGAGATTCAAACAATACAATTGTCTCTCTGTATCACACAGATAAGAAAAGCAATAACGCACCAACCTGTTTGCAGCATTCTTTACGTTAAGTCATCACCGTGTTAGAGAAGTGTCTAAGATTCCATTCTTTGTCTGTCTGCCAATACATGTTCTTCTACGGTTAACGTTTGTATCCTGCTATTTATGCTCAAAAACGGTATGGCTTCATCATGAGAACCATCATTTAATTTTTTTCTGTACGCATATTTTTATATCGTCACCAGTAAAATTTCCGTGCAAGGCTCTGCGAAATGGACAATTTGATAAAATACAAATCATGTCACACTCCAAACTTCACTCCTCATTACTACAATCTTGATCTTCCGGTCAGTGCAACTCAAGAAGATATTGAACAAGCACATCGTCGCCTCCTCCAATTAGTTCATCCAGATAATTTACGAGGTCCAGAGCAGAATAGTAGTGCCGAAACTGCCACTCAGCTTATCAACGAGGCTTACGAGGTACTGAGAGACGATGAGAAACGTTTTTATCATCTAATGGTTTGCGAAAAGACGTTTGGTTGTCGTTTCAAATCCGATTATCGACAGAGGTTTGGAGTTGATTTTTGGAACAGTCGGTGGGCAAGTAAACATCGTGAAATTGACAGCTTCGCGCCCAAACCGTGGCCGTGGGATTATGACACTTTATCAACTGAAATAATGTGCCCTCCTGAAAAAAATGACGGGTTTCAATTTTGTACCGCGACCTGGGTAAATGCGGCTCATATACTTGTGGACAACCTGCTACCTTACTCTGTGAGCGACAATATATGGCGTCGTGTTGAGACCTGGAGAAGTGGAAATCCTAGTAATGAAACAATCAAGGACGTATATCTCGACTTTCAACGTGGTTGCGATAATTTTAAGGTCATGGTAGAAAAGAGAGAACCGTACATACCATGGTCACAAATTCCGGCAAACACTGATTGGCCAACTTTAGGCAAGCGGTGTTCACTATTTTGTGTCGATATTCTGACTGTACCTTTCAGTATTTTCTGTATCATTCTTATCCTCTTGAGCTTAGTTAGTTTCCAGACTATCAAGAAGCCTAAAAGAAAGCGACGACGACCGGTCTTTCGGGCTCCATCGGCGAGATCTAGTCGTGCGTCGACATATCGAACAATAGATGGCGATGTGGCACGATCACAGAATCAGTATCGGACTAGAGCATCACAACGACCAAGCTCCTTTTACTCTTCAGAGGGAGACTATTACGCAGATGAAGATTCGGCATCGTTATATCGTTTAGGAAAGCCGCAAAAGTACTCTGTAAAGGAAGTCTCAAGTCGATATACAAATCCTTCCGACAAATCAGAATCAACACGGTATCCCAGCACCATAACAAAACAGAGCCGAGCTACAAGTTCTACAACCGACAATCTAACAACCAATCCACCGCCAATACAACATAAGAGGTTGAAAGTGCCCCAGTCTCGTTCTCCAAGTACAAGTCCAAGTTCAAGTTCCTCTACTTCACTATCCTCCTCAACCTCATCCTCCAACCCCAAACCGCAACGACCACCCTCGCCTGCCAACGCCTCCCAATTTTTCTCCCTCAACCCCTCCGAAAAACACTACTACTATCCCAACAACGATCTTCCCCTACGTGAACGACGCAATACCTCTACAACCTTCCCGCCCACCCGTCAGCGATACGTGCATTACGAAGACGAAAAAGACTGGGCAGATGACGAACGCACACCACGTCTCTGCATGGCTTTAACAGCAACGGGAAAACAATGTTCGAGAAGAGTTTCACTGGTGACGCCGCTGAGTGGGAGTACGGTGGAGGCGTTGGTTAGTCCGCTTTGTTACCAGCATCGGCATGTGCGGAAATGGATTAGGGCAGCTCATGAGAGAGGTCCGCCTGTGGAGGAGAGTGTGTCTTCGGTGGAAAGGGATAGGTTACCGGAGGAGGAGAGCAGGAGGCCATCGGTACGGTTTTTGGATGATGAGGAGGAGGATGACGAGTATTAGTCTAAGTCGTCAGCATGATTTGCAGTAGATTTCATCTCTATTTGGAAGCTTGCGTCATGAAGTTATGTTGTTCAAGAGACCTCTGAAACTAAAGGTCAACAAAGATACGAAAAATACAGAAGAGAAGTAAAAATTAGGATCTCGATTATAACCAGAAAATATAGCACTCTACACTGACTCACAATCCCATCTTTCAACTCCCCATTCCACAGCTCATAATTGCCACTACTCTTCCCACCGTCTACAAATCCAGCATAACCGTATCCTTTCTAGCTTTCCAGCCCCCCTTTCTTCCCTCAAAATCTACATTCATTCCAATACCGTAACCTTAAACAATTCCACCACACATACGATACCCCCATCTCCAAGTCCCAACCCTCAGCACAACAACCCACCTGCATCCATAACCACTTACCCATCTACACAACTTCCAATGATCTTGCTGTTATCTCACCTCATATCCGTACATCTTTCTAGACTACCCATCCATCTCCACTCTCCATACATATGAATCAATACCTATAATCATAGATTACTTTCCGAAATTTTCTCGTATACATTGATTCAGCATTGTTATTTCCCAGATGATAAGGTTACGGGAAAATTTGAGGTGAGGGAGTGGATGATGGTAAGTAAATAGATGCTTGTTATAGAACAATCCCGAGGTCTGATGATATGCCATCCATCTTATGAGTGAATCATCTCATGTGATAAGTACCTAGGTACCTATGGATGGGTATTATGGTATCTAGGTAATCTTTTGTAGAATGATGACTACACTCTATTAAAATATGACTAGAGTATTGCATTATTCACCTCAATCGCAATCATACCATTTCTAGGTACTTTCACTCAATTCCCGTGTTAAGATTTCACAAGCCCAAAAGCTCAAGGATCACAGCATCATATGTTTTGACCCCAAAAGGATAATCGGCATAGCAAATCTGCCGTAATAAATTACCCTCAAATATATATTCAAACTCCTCATAACTCATAAAATCCCATGGTATCTATCTATCTATCCATCTATCCATCTAACCTCCACCCCAAACCCAAACCTCTAAACCACACTCCCATTCTTCCCATCCACACCCTCAACTCCACCTCCATACTCCACCCTCTCCTCCTGGACCCCCTTCCCCTCCCCCACAACCACATCCCTCACCCTCTCATCCAACAAACTATCCCCCGGCCTCGTCTTCCACGGTTTGGGCCCCCCCTTCGCAAAAAGCAATTCAATCTCCTCGAGCGTCTTCCCCGCCGTCTCGGGATACGTAAAAAACGCCTGCACCGCAGCCGCAAAACACAGCACCCCAAAAATAATAAAAAGCCTCCAACTAATATTCTGAAACGCGCTGGGGATGAACAATCCGATGGCGAAATTGAAGAGCCAGTTTGCGATCGACGCGAGTGCCATCCCGGTTGCACGCGTCTCGAGCGACCACACTTCAGCAGCGTACACCCACGCAATGGGCGCGAGAGTGACCGAGTAGAGAAGCACGAGCAGATAGCAGAAGGCGATGACGGTGTAGGCTGGGGAGCCGGAGACTTGCACGCGCACGCTGAGATTGCCGTCGAGTCCGTTGGGGAGGTAGGTGCCGTAGGAGCCGAGGATGCCGCCGACGACGAACATGCAGATTCCCATGCCGAGGGCGCCGTAGATCTAGTGGGTCTGGGTTAGAGGTTTTTTTCTTTGTTTTGGGGAACATAGGGTTGATTGTTAGGAAAAGAAGGGCTTACGAGTAAGGGTCTTCGACCAGTTTTGTCGATAAAGAAGAAAGTCGCTGCAGTCCCGATGATGAAAATAGCGTATTGGACACCAGATGAAACAAGACCGATATTTCCTGTCAAACTAGCCATTTCAAAAATATACACCACATAGTAAGTCATCACGTTTGCACCGCTCAATTGTTGCCATGCCTGCACAGACGTACCCGCCAATGTACGTTTCCACATTCCATTTTTGAAGAATCGTCTCCAACCTTTCTGGCCTTCACGTTCGGCAGCAAGAATGGTGGTGATTTCCTCCCATTCGGCGATTACGAGTGGATCGTTGATATTACCGCCTGCTTGGATATCTGCCAGAATAGCGATGGCTTCCTTTTCGCGTCCGACTTTTGCTAGCCAGCGAGGCGAGCGAGGAAGAAACGGAATACCCATCATGAGAATGACACAAGGAATAAACTGCATAGCCCACGCGGTACGGAATGATGCCGTGGGAGTGGACTTGATAAAACTGCATCCGTATCCCACAAAATACATGATGAAGATCCCCCATTCAATAGACCATTGTTGAATAACGATAATAGACCCTCGACTTTCTTTCTTGGCAATCTCGGCGAGATACACAGGTGCTTGCGAGGAAGTGATACCTACGCAGATACCATTGATGAAACGACCAGCAACTAACATGCCAATTCCATTACAGGAAGTTTGGAGAGCGGTGCCGAGTAGCCACCAGATACAAGCGAAGAATAAAGAGTCTCGACGACCGTACTTGTTGGATACGGGACCAGCCATGATGGCACCGATGACTGAACCACCAGCCAAGGCTGAACCGATACCTCCTTGAACGACACCTTGAGGGTTGTTGAAGTAGTCTATGTATTGGCTAGTACCGATAATGGCTGACATAGATGAAATGTCAAAACCAAACCTGAATACAATCTGTTAGACTCGTTGTTCGTGCTCTGAAATTTGGGCGGTGGGTTGTAAATTGTAAATTTGGCACTTACAGCATTCCACCAACAGTGGCGATAGAAGCCAGAAAGTAGACATTATTGATCTTTGGGAGATGCACCATTTTGAGCAGTAGAGATCTAGGAAGTCTTTTTTCCCTGGAGAAAGAAATCAAAAGATTGGAGACTCACTCACCTATATATAATGATAACATCGTATGGGGAATTTACGATACATACCAAATGATTTTTGGGGGACTTGATACGAAATATGTGGGACACCCCATGGAGAGAGCCCCAAAAGATTAATTATCGTGTGTAATTGGTGCGCATAGTACTTTCCACGACATCTATTCTCTATAAAGTTGAGATCGACGAGATGGTTGTTTTAATGTCGTACTATGTTTCTTTAGGGTGGAGGTTATTTAGAGCCCGTGCTTCCACCTATAATCCACATATTGAGTAATATCGAATCATGGTAGACTTCGGAAGCATCGAATCACTCATAACTTTAGATCGGGCCGTTAGCCAGGCCCGGTTTTCTATAGTTGTTTATAGGAGCGCATGCATGTGATATGGCTCAACGCTGACGTATAGTTGTGCGAACATTGTAGTAAATTATTCGTTGTGGAGATGTTGGGGCAACGCTCCAGGTTTTTTGACAGCGTGAATCTTGGTTTGGGGTCTCCAGAGAAACTGAAGTTCAATGGATCCACAATGTGTGGGTACAAATTTCGTAAATACCACGGCAATAACAAGCGGCATCGCCAAAAGTAGAATGTCGAAACTTCACATGTAAATGTGGTCCATAATTCGATATTTGGCACAGGTTTGGAAACGTACGGCTATGTAATAAAGGGTGAAGTTTGAGATGCAGGTCGATAGATATCACAGACATATCGGCCAATAGATATATGTGACGTAGGTGCCGTGCGTACCGGAGGAAGAGTTGTGGATCCTCACGGCCAGTACCATGTCAAAATCACTGATGATTAGATGTATGAATTCCAAATTCTGAATTGCACCAATAGATTAAAGGAGATAAACAATTCAATTATTCTAATCATTCTAAAACGACTATAAAGCAATCGCTCACTGCGGCATCTGACATATACTTGAGCATAATTGCTGTTCACTCGGACAAAACTTTGGCCAGGGCAGTCAATTGACTGTCCATCTTGGGATAGCGGATACCGAAGTATTCTATCTTAATGACCACCTAAATTCAAGGATCTTCTTACTCCAAGTCTATCGAGAATCTCTTTCTCAACGAGGCTCCATAGTAATAAAACAGTATAGGGCTTGGGGCGATTGCAACACTCAAAAATGCAAAAATGCTCAGTCCCCATCCAACTCCAATATTGTCCAGAATGCTTGGCGTGATTAGAGGTACAATTCCTCCGAAAATACTTCTGAAAAATGCTCCAGCTGCAATGGCACTTGCCGCATATTTCTCGAAACTATCGATGTAATAATTCTGTACAGTATTAAAGATAGCGACCTGCCCAATACCATAGAAGAAAGTAGCTATAAGTGTAAAGGCCCAGTGTACGCGGTACTCCACCATCCAGGCAAATGAAAATAATGTGATGGGAATTAGAACCGCGCCGATATTCGCAAGAGGAAGACGAAATTCAGGTTTTGCTTCGCCCTTGTTTTTTTGTGCAAGGTGATTTCGAATATCGTCGATTCTCGGAACAAGGAATCTTACTGCCGAAAGAAACCCAAGTCCTGGGGCAAGATATACAAGTCCTACTTGAATAGTGCTAAAGCCATATCCATCGCCATAGATTCGTGAGAATTGGGTATAAAGACTGTATGTTGTGGCGAAAATGAGAGCTTGATATGTTGACATGATCAAAACTATAGGTTGGGTAAATAGTATCTTTAGTGGTCGATGAACTGCTTGGATAGCTTTTGATGAGAATGGTCTCAAATCTTCTCCTTCGAAATAGTATTTAACATCTGAGCATTCTTCAAGTTCCTTCTTTCGATGAGTAAGAAGAATAGGAACATAAGTCTCGTGCAGAAAAAAATATACACCAGCGAAAACGACACCACATATCATCAACAAGATCCAGAATAGCCATGGCCATTTGAGATTTTGTAGAATAACACCGCCAAGAAGAGGCCCTATTGTTGGTCCTAGAAGTGGCCCCAGGAGATACCATCCGAAGACACCTGCTCGTTCACTCGGCAGATACATGTCAGAGATGGTTCCACCTCCATTGGCAATTGAAACACCTTTAAGAAGTCAGCAATGCTCTGTTTATGTAGAGATAAAGGAGTATTACTCCCAAAGAATCCAGCGATGGAGCGAAACGTGATGAGTGTAGCGATATTTGGACTTAGCGCAGTGGGAATCTGGAGCAACGTAAAGATACCAAAGCAGATCAAGTACACGGGCTTTCGACCGAAGGTTTCAGACAGAGGAGCAAGCAAAAGACTATCATGTCAACATGTCAGTACGGCATAGATAGTAGAGTTTTGATGAATTTTCTCACGGTCCAATTCCAAGCATGACAACGAAGCCGGTTTGACATGCGATTACAGCCTGGGCTGTCGTGTCCAATGATTCCGCGATTTGATTAATACCGGGTGCAAACATGCTACTTGCAAGTGGTGATAAAACTATCTGGTATTAGCATCAAAGCGAAGGGAGGATTCATCAGACACATACTAGCCATGGTAGCAATGACGGCGATGTTTCCCAGTTTCTTCCACTTCGACCAATTTCTCGGATTTTCATCATCGTGCTCTGAAAATTCGAGTAACTGAACACACGTCAATCAACAGGTATTGAGGTACCCAGTCGATGGGGATACTGACTTCTTTGTTGGCACCAGCCTCTTCATGTTGAATGAGTGGCGATCTCTCGTGTGCAATTCCAGGCATATTTCTGGGGTGCATTTTGAAGTGTGGAGTTTCAAAGGGTACCAAATGTCAAATGCAGCAATGAAACAAATACTCTATAGGAATAAATAATAGTAAAAGACGCAGGTTGCTTAATGAATAGAGAGAAAGAATGATAGAAGACTCGCTGGATAACTGATGTTGATTTTTCAATGACGTTGAGACACTAACAAATACCGTACCTATACCCAGTAGTTTTGGTTCCAAGATTCAGAGGGAGAAGAAAAAGGAAAAGGAAACTCAAAGATGTTGTTCTTCATTGAACTCTTGAATGATTCAATTCATGATACTTATTACTACCACTGACTTCCATCTACCTACCTAGGTTCTCGGTCAGAATATGTACATCACTTCATTCTGGATTCATTCATTTTGATTGTCTGTTGTTTTTGTTTTCTCATCTCTGACTTCACTTCTTCATCTGTTCTATGCGTGCGGGGAATCCCTGTAGGTGGATGATATGTAATATCACGTGACTTTAATGGCTTTCGCGTTTCGCAAACTTAGAGACGCGTTGTTCTCATGAGCTGTGGCGCGACGGTCGCTGCTGCCTTCCTCATCATTATTTGCTCACACGGTCACACCACCGTATCCATCATTCCATTCATTTATTACTGTTTGAAGACCGACGGCGTTATAACTCGCGAATTATGAATAGATAATCGCTATACAATCCTCTGCCATCTCAAATTCTCACCGTGATCAAATATGAAATTCCGAGGAAATAATTCATGTGGTTGACCAAAGCTGGCGATTAATATCCTTGCCATCAAAATGGGTAGCCGCCTGGAAAAGAATTCGGAATCGGTTCGAAAGCGCATCGAATCGCATACTTTCCAAAGCGAAGGGGGTGAAGAGTATGAAAGTTCAAAATTTGGAGGCTTTTCGGATTACTTTCGGCGCAAAAGGATCAAATTACAAAATTTGGATGCAGAAGTCCGATCTACATCGACTGGAAATCCAAATATCTTTCGCGGCATCGTGGCGCACGTTAACGGCTATACACAACCCTCCTTGAGTGATCTCCATCGCATGATAGTATCTCATGGCGGTGGGTTCATGCAATACTTGGATGGAAAAACCGCAGTTACTCATATCATTGCATCAACTCTGACTCCCAAAAAAGCAATCGAGTTTAAGCGATATAGAATCGTGAAACCGGCTTGGGTAGTAAATAGTGTAAAGGCTGGAAAATGTCTTCCATGGGATTCTTATCGTGTTCTAGATGAGGGAGTCGGTCAACGATTACTTGGATTTAGTGAAGGTAAAGTTGTTAATCAATCGGCAACCCAACAAAGAGGATACCGCGATCAAACAAATGCAAGCTGGTATACCAGTCAGGTCAGAAATGTCGCCGAAGATATTGATGACGATGATGGGCCCCAATTTCCGAATTCGCAGGTACAAAAGATCATGTCGCAAAATCCTGGCGCATCCACGCAATCATCTGCCGATCAAATGCTCGAAAGCATCGAGGAAGTCGATCAAATCCCGGCTTATGATCCTGTAAGCTCTGGTGGAAGCTTTGAAGCTTCATCGTCCTTGGAAGAAGCCTTGAAGCACGCCGCCAATGTTACTACTCCTGCTCGAAAAGCAGCATTAAAATCTATTCAGATATCAAAGAATAATTTTCTTATGAAGAAATCTCCTTCGCATTCCCCTGACCTTCAGACCTCGTCAAGTCCAACAGCTGTCACTCCAACTAAACCAAAATTTCTCACACCTGTCAGAAAAGAAGCATATGATGTTGAAAAATCGCATACACCTGAACTCGGACCTACTGAACCAAGATCGTTTCTCAACACCAAGAAGAGATCAAATGATGAAGAAACAACCAACTCTCCCAAGAAGGCAAAGATTGAGACTGCAGAAGAACACAACGCAAAATTATTAGCAGACCCTCATATGCGAAAATCAACGACTGCAAACCCGGACTTTATCAAGCAATACTATTCCGAATCTCGGCTACATCATTTGTCTACCTGGAAGGCAGATCTTAAATCAAAATTTCAGCAGATGGCATCCGAGAAGTCGGCTTCTCAAAAACAGACAACAAAGCGAAAACCTGGCTCCCGAAGATACGTCATGCATGTAGATTTCGATAGTTTCTTTTGTGCGGTATCTCTCAAAAGCGCACCTCAATTTGTCGATAAACCTGCAGTTGTTGCTCATGGCAGTGGAACGGGGTCTGAAATTGCTAGTTGTAACTATCCAGCTCGTGAATTTGGCATCAAAAACGGAATGTGGATGAAAAATGCCATTAAACTATGTCCCGACATCAAGGTCTTACCCTATAATTTTCCAGCGTACGAGGACGCTAGTAAATTATTTTATGAGGCTATTTTAAATGTCGGCGGTGTAGTACAAAGTGTCAGTGTTGACGAAGCTCTCGTTGATATCACTTCTTTGTGCTTAGCTGCAGGTGGCACTGATGGAGTCGGAATTCTAGATAGTGGTAGTATTAGGAGAGAACAAGAAAGAGCTGATGAGATTGGGAATAAACTTCGAGAGGTTATCAAACAGAAGACAGGTTGCAATGTATCTGTTGGAATTGGAGGAAATATTTTACTTGCGAAAGTTGCACTTCGGAAAGCCAAACCGGCTGGTCAGCATCAAATAAAACCAGAAGAGGTTTTGGATTTCATCGGCGAACTTGATGTTAAGAATCTTCCCGGCGTTGCCTACAGTATCGGGGGAAAGCTCGAAGAGATTGGAGTTAAATTTGTGAAAGATGTCCGGCAATTATCCAAAGATCGCCTGGTGACTGTTTTGGGTCTCAAAACCGGGGAAAGAATATGGGATTATTCGAGAGGCATTGACAAATTGGAGGTTGGAGAGCAAGTTGTACGAAAGTCTGTCTCGGCCGAGGTGAACTGGGGTATTAGGTTCACTTCACAGACAGAAGCTGAAGAATTTGTTCAAAATCTCTGCATTGAATTACAGCGTCGATTGATCGAGCAAAGAGTCAAGGGGAAGCAAATGACTTTGAAAATTATGAGGAAATCTGCTGATGCACCCCTTGACCCACCCAAATTCCTTGGTCATGGAAGTTGTGATACTTTCAACAAGAGCATAGTCCTTGGTGTGGCTACTAATGATGCTTTAATCATCGGAAGAGAAGCAATCTCAATTCTGAGAAGTTATGGCTTCTCTCCTGGAGAGCTACGGGGCCTTGGCGTTCAAATGACCAAACTTGAGCCTGTGAAGTTTTCCAATGGTTCTTTACTTGATGGCAGTCAAAGAAGGATTAATTTTGGCGCCCCTGTGGCATCAAAGTCAAGTAAGAAATCTACTGAGGACCCTATCGTTGATGAACCAGAGACTCCAACGAAACAGAGGATAATTCCATATGCACAATCTACAAAACGACTTTCGGAAGATATCGTCAATTTTGCAACACCAACGAAGCCTAAGTCTATCACAAAATCAATACCTGGCGAAGACCCTATTGATGAAAGTAGTCCCTTGAAAGCCAGACCAACTCCAGCTCATCCCGCAACTTTCATTGCAAGAACAAATGCTGGTGATCAAAGTGCCAGAAAGCTCAACTTGACTGGAACTCAATTTATCATACCAAGTCAAGTCGACCCCGAAGTCTTGAAAGAACTTCCTCCAGATATCAGATCAAAATTAATGGCTCAAAGTAAGAGCTTGCCGGCCTCAAGAGAACACACTCCTATTATGCCAGTGAAAGAGTCTTTGTCTGAGAGTCCTGCCAGATCCAAAGTCTCGTCTTATATGCCTTCACAGCTCGATCCCGAAGTATTCGACGCATTACCTGAAGAAATGAAAGCAGAAATATTAGAAAGCTATAAGCCACAGATTCCACATCCAGTACCTGGGGTACAAACAATTCTCCCTCAGTCACCCCGCAAAAACCGGACGATAACTGGTAAAAAGCCGCCAACTCCTATCAAGAAACGAGGCCGCGGTAGACCTCCCGGGCCTAGGATCAAACCTGAACCTCCAGGTGGTCCACTTCAATCGAAATTTGTCGCCAACCCTCTCAGACGAGAAGCCTCAGTTGATGCTGGTGATGATACCGATATTCTCGATCCAGAATTCCTCGCTGCATTGCCCGAAGACATGCGTGAAGAGATAATAGCCGAGCATCGACGGAAACGCCTACAAAAACGCGGTGGACTCATGACATCCACAGTCAAGAAGATAAAGAAACCAGATCCAGCTCCACTCGGACCGCGAAGAATCCGTCTTCCTCCCAAACCGCCAAAGCCCACTTTCACAACGCAGGAATTGAGTACACTAGAGGAACTTAGAGAGACGCTTACAATCTGGTATCGTGAATTCGAAAGTGAAGGTCCGCATCCGGATGATGTCTCTGCGATGGAGAGATATTTAAGAAGAGTCATTCTAGACGAGAGAGATTTGGCAAAAGTGGTAGGGGTTGTGAAATGGTTGGGATGGTTAATAGATGATAGTGAAGTCGTAGGAAAAGGAAAACGACACTGGGAAAAAGTATACGTAGATGTATGTCGTAAGATTCAAGAGGCTGTCAAGGAAAGGGGTCTGGGTAGACTTGATTTCTAGTGTATTTTTGTCTAGATTCTTGACTGGTTTATTAGTCTACTTATTTAGTTCGTTGCTTAACATAAAATGGAAAATGGTAACAGACTTCATAGCTTGGAAATACCGTGTCCTGAAGCTTGTTCCCCTTATCACTTATCCAGATGTGCAACAATTGTCTATATAATTATGATCTCCCTCATTCCGTACTAAAAATATCGTCGTTTCTTTACATGGAATCTTATTACATACATTACTCAACCTATAACTAAAGATTTCCAGTAAAAACACAAACCCAAACTCAAACTCAAAATTTAGAGTTTCAAACGGTGCTGAGAATATGTAAGTCTTATATCGTAATTATCAAACCATACCCATCTAAGGTTACTAGAGAAAAAATCCTCTAGGTGAGAGAGGAAACTAGAAACTTCCAAAAGAAACCATTTTCCTAATATGGGTATTGATTAACTTCTTACTCAAAAAAAAAGAAGAAGAAAAAGAGAGAAGTCATCGCATCATGAATCATCATCAATAAATCTCAGCCCTGTCTATCTAGCTAGCTAGTACTTATAACTCATTATAATCATATATCTCAATTGAACATTTTAAATATCTAGATAGTATTTATTAACTAATTAGCAAGTAAGATTACCTACATAACTAACTATAACTATAACTATAACTACCGCAACCAATGAGTTATCTACCTAGTTAGTACCATCATACAACCTACCACTCGGTAGTTTCTCTAGTATCTACTATCTCCACACTAATAAAGACTAGATAGATATCTAGCTTGAACTTTCTTCCTTCCTCGCTTAATACGTGACTCATTGGAGGTATGGGGTATGGGGTATAAATACATTTCTCTTCTGGAAATTTTCTTTGTTGTGGTTTTTTCTGTTTTGTTTTTGTTTTCATTTGTGTCTTCATCTTCATCTTCGTCTTTGTCTTCATTTCTGGGCTTGTGAGAGAGTGAATAATGTGAATAATGTGGATCATCTCTTCACTCCGATCCTGAAAAACGAAACCCTAACTAATGTCATATATACATACCTAGGTAGGTACTCAGTACCAGAAATTCTTTCTCTATCATCCACTCGAAGTATCTACCACTTTCTGGATAAAGTTTAAGGAATTAGGGAGGTGGTTTGGTTGGGGAGATTTGTGAGCTCATCATCTCATCTTTATCTTTTTTTTTCCTTCTGTGGTCTTCTAATTAATGGATACATAGGACGATACGATATTATCCAACGACATTATCCATCTAACCGAACGGTTCTTTGAGCTCATTCATATCGAAATCGATATACCATTACATCGCGCTTGTGAATTTTTGTGAAGAAATCCTGAAGATGGGTTGGTTTTTATTTTCGACTCTGCGGTATCGATACCGTAATGCGATATTGGGAATGAGGAAGATTATCTGAACGGAGTTTTTAGATATGTTTGTAGGCGCACCTCGCGTTCCAATTCTCAAATAAACTTGGAATACATCGAATCGTGATGCGAGGGATTCTGTTTCACATACCTACCTGCCTACCCCTAGGTTTTTTCTTCGGGGTTTTGGTATGCATGTTTGAGTGGAGATAGAGGGGGTCCTGAGATGGGTTTTCTTATTTAAATAGGTACGTGTATATTTTGTATTCTATTTCTTACATATCTTCAAATTGCAAGTGCAAAAGTGATCTTATATATTGATTAATGATCAATCTTGAGAATATCACAGCAAGCAAGTCATTCAAATATATGATGGAAATAAGTCACATCAAAAAATCTTCGTGATCTCTATAATTCCTGGTTTCCATAAAGGGATATGGAGAGAGGGATTCGTGATTTCTTCTGAGATTGGAATTTTAATCATTCGTTATATCATATATTATTTGAGAGCTACACAATCTACAGAAGTCAATTAAGTGAGTGTAGAAGTATACATTACACTACCACGATATCAGAGATATCTGAAAGTGGATCTATGAAGAAACCAAGTCACATCAAAAAACCCTATATGATCTATCATTCCTCTTCTACGAAGTAGGAATAAAATAGAAACGGGCATAAGTGGCAATATCTGAGATTACCATCACATCCAAACTTTTGGTTGTCCATTTCGATTCCATGTTTATCCATCCCCTAAAGTGCGAGTGTGAAAGAATACACTATCGCACACACTATCAGCAGCAGCAACAGCAACAGAACCGCACCCGTGAATGAGGAAAAAATCGATGATGAAAACAAGTCACTTCCAAGAAAATTGGGGTATCGCTCTTGCCAGGTCTTCTGGAGAGTAGATTTGAGAGGAAGGGATGAGTGACTGGTCCTGAGATTTTTTGTTTTTTGTCTTTTTTGTCCATTTCATGTTTATAATCTTACATCCCCTGAAAAGGCGAGTGTGAAAGAATACATCGTCAACAAGCCGCGAGCCGAAATTCCAAATCTATGATGAAAACAAGTCACTTTTCCATAAGAAAGTTGGATATATCTCTCTTTACTAGGTGCTTTGAAAAAAGATTAGAGAGGGGGGATGAGTGACTGGTCCTGAGATCTTTTTATGACTTTTTTGGATCTACTTCTTTTCAAGTTTGGGTTGTTCTTTTGAGTGTGAGTGGGAAGGGGGGTATTGGTGCATGTCTTGTTTTGTATCCCGTTTAGTAAGACCTCTCATTAGGGTATAGAATAGAGATTGAGTTTTCTGTAAGGGTGCGGAGTTTATGTCTCTATTACTACCTTAAATCCTCTTGAAGGAAAGATGAGAGATAAGAGAATATCTGGTTTTTTTTAAGATTATCCTCTCCGCGACGATTTGCTCGAATTACTTGTTTATTAACATTTCATCTGTACTGACTAAATATTAGGATTGAGCTCAACATACGCTTTAATACGAAAGATACCATGTAGCACTGTAAGATTCAAGACCCTTCCTCTTCATTCGAAAAGATCAAGAAAGATCTTTGATATCGACGATGATATAAGATTACTCGTAAAGATCCATCATTCTATTTGGAACTTACATCTATAGTATGAGGTCAAATACTGAGAAAAGCGAGATATAAGTGGTGTTTTCGAGGTATAATTTCTTCCTTCCTTTCTTCGTGAATCTCGATTTTCACATAGTAGATTCTAGAGAGCAGAGATATCTGTGAACGAATTACATATTGTCTATACGATTCTGAGTATATTGATTGAGAAGTCATTTCTTTTCGCAGGTATAAAGAGAAATCTATGATGAAAACGAGTCGTCTCAAGAACTTACTTCTCTGTGACATTCTACCATAACGTGAGATGTCAGCGATGCGAGTGAGTACTAAAAAGAATCAGAGACTTTCGAGGATGATAATTTCTGCTAGGAGATTTTCGTTGCTATTGTTTGCGTATTATTTCTCGCAATCAAGATTCAAGAGCTATCAACATGTTAGGAGTCTCTTGACCTCATCGTTGTTGAACCTCAGTAGTTGATGTGCGTGTACGTGGGAAGTATTTCTGAAATCTGTCACTTAATAATGAATGCATCACTGATGCAAACCAGCTACTTTGGCATTTTTATCCATCTCCCTCTCAATTCAAACTGGGTGTCGACATGAGAGGGAATGTTTTAATTATAAAAAGAAGATTGTTGAAGGTAAGAGTTAAGGCCATCTGTCAAGGTACGGATAAAGACTTATATTATACCATAAGAATAGAAGAGCTATAAAAGGGTAAGACCCTCTTATAGGAAGTAGGGTATGCTAATAATATATACCTAAGGCATAAAAACAACATAATTGGTACTATAATAATATTCCCCCCTTAAAGCTTGCTTGTCCCAAACAAGTTAAAATACAATCCAACTAACTTTATCAATTTTCAGTAAAGTTGTAATAAGGAATTAATCCATAAAGCCAACTTATTATTATATTTAAATTAAATAAATAATAAATTTGATTAAATAAGAATTTAAAATCTTTTAAAATAATATTAGAAAATTCTGATTTCCATTATAGGATTAAAATGAATTCTTTTAAAACCTATAATTAGCTAATTACCCTTCCTCAATCTACCCTACTCTTATTTTGAAATCACACTTGATATAAAATTATCTAAAATAACAAACCTTTTGAATTCTATCTATATAAACAAATCCAATTTATTTAGATTTACTAAATAAAATACAATAATCATTTTCTTTTAATCTTTAAAATCCTTAACTAATTACTACAATAACAAATAATATTTTTATTTGATTTAATAATAAAATCTATCCTTATTATAATAATCAAGTAATTTATTAAATTCTTATTATTTGGTTTCTTTATTTATATCATTATCCCTTTCCAAAACTCGATTTTGGTTATAATAGAACTTTACTTTATTGATTATAGTTTGACTAATTAATCTAGCTAAACTATAAAGTAATCTGAATAGTAAATTATAGAATACTAGAAAGATCTTAAAAGTAATAGATAATTGAAGTAAATAAATATGTTTATAAACTTTTAGAATCTTATAAAACCCGATTCACTTATTATTATCCTTCTTTATAAATTAGTTAGTCTTTATATTCGTAATACCAACCTATATTATATTTTCCTTTTTATACAAAAAAGACATCAATATATATCTCATTTACATAATCTTTGTATTTCTGAATAGCTTAATGGCCAAAGTTTTTAGCTTTATTAAAATAACATTAAATAGATTACATCTCATTGGTGTTCAGAAAATTCATACTTCTATAATATAAAAGATTTGATAAAATAGATAAAAAAGATTTGATTGTAAATTACAAATAGAAATTAATAAGTTAAGAAAGAATAAGAATAGAGCAATAATTTCTGAAATAATATTATTAAATATAAAGGCGGGGAATAAGAATTAGTTATATTAATTATTCGAATGAAAATTATAAAAGCTTAAAGTATTAGGCGTCTATAAACATAAATCGCTTTATTAATTAGGCAATTGGAAAAAAAACAAAAAAAGATATGGAAGATAATTAATATAAAAGAAATATATCCAAAATACTAATATAAACTACAAATCTTTAT